CCGAGAGTGTAGGATGAGGAAAGAATCTATATGACGTCGGAGCGGGGACTCGTGGCGCCCTCGTCACCGCGAGTGATGATTGCACTACTTGGAAACGCCCGGTGGTCTCCGGCGAAGCGTTCCGACTTTTTGCTGGGAGCCAAACACGACTTTCCTTGAGAGGCGCGGGGTGACTCCGCAGTTTTAATATATAGGGAATTAATCCTAGAATCCTGCTCGTCACATTCGACTTAGTGGGGTCATCGTGCGCGGAACACACATTGTAGCGACGACGCGACGCCCATCGAGCGGGGGATAGCCTCACGGCTGCTAGCAAAGTATCCGGACCCGACCTTGATCTACCCGACCGCATTATATTCACGGCAGCCTTACCGGTGGAAACCGAGCCGTAGAAGTCAGGCTTTCTGCATCAGGCCTGAAAAATTATAATCACCAGACGGAGGTTTTGCACGAATTGCGCAACTGAGCGAAGTCTACGCGAAGCAAGCGGTGAAACTTCGTACGTTCCCGATTTTTCTCAATCCCACGAAACTGTGCAAAAGGGTACGTTTCGTTGTGTGCACGCTAGCTTGGAAACCCAACGCCCCAACTCCGCTTGACTCCGAGCGCGTTCTCTCCGATGACTTGCAGGAGTGGCTCGGTTCTCCTGTTTCCGATGCTTCTTGATCCTGAGTACGATCACCTTTCTCTTCGAAGAGTGAGGGAATCTGAAGATCCGAAGGTGCTGAGCATGTCCACCTTGACATGAAGGAACCCGGAAACGCCACCGCAGATCTCTGGCAGTTTGGGACCTCTAATCAAACATAATGTATGGCACATTCTTCGCGCTCGATAGCGGGATTAAAATCCGCAGGCGATGAGCCTTTCTTCTGCTGGCGGTTTTTCTTCGAAAAATCTGCTCCGTCTCTTGTCAATATCCTGATTGGATTATTATCAAATATCTTATTCAGCAACAGAATTTTGTGTAATAAATCGATTATCGAGCTTTTCTGTCGCTAGACAGAGTCTCCGGTGCGTGCAGTTCCGGACCCCCTTGATTACGAAGTCCGCTCTGCGCCGTTTCACCTTGGTAATCCACTGATTGCGTATTCATCGACGGATTTCCGATTCTTATATCATGAAAACTTCCAATTGGTAAATTTATTATCATTGCTACTCTATTAATTTTTTTTTCGACCGGCGCTGGAAGGAATTGACTGGAATGGTTTTTGCTCATGGCGATACGATCCCTCTCGCCCAACCTACAGGACCGAATACGGGTCAACCCCCTAACGCAAGCGATAAGCAGCGGATCATCATTGGGTCTGTTGCTCTCGACCTCCCGTGGACTTCGTGCCCGAAGCGCTGCAATAGGCACCGCGATAAGGGATCCTTCAAGAGTTGAGTCGTCCACAATACTTGGGAGAGGTTGGGATTTCAAGACGCGCATCCGGGACGGAAGCGCTTACCGAAAACTAAGCGGTCACCCTAGTCAGTCAGGGAGACAGATCCGTTCCCTTCAGATTCACCTCATGAACGCCGAGACTTCATCATTCTCATTATTCCAGCACTAAATTAAAAAAATATTGACGAGTCGTATGACGGAAGCGGCGACTTTCCGTCGGAAGTGGAGACGAAGTTCGGGATAAGACTCAGTGTTTCAGGGGTTGTAGGTTCGAAAGAACAACGGAATTAGCGACCGCAGCTGTGGCCCCTGATGATAATGGGTGACACGTCCCGTGAACTGTTTCTCTCAGACGCTTCTTCGTTGATATGAGTAGAAAAGCAGGGAACTCGGGTGGCGATGAATTCACAAGGAAACAAACACTCTCCCGCCAGATGTATGTTTTGTAACTTAATTGCCCCTTGCCACTCGGTCGACTTTGTTGCGAAAATGCCGTAGCCGTGGAACGCGATGTCGTCTTCAGTTCGTTTGGGTAAGGTAACCAGCAGCGACATTGTTGTCATCTTGTCCGAGCCCTCTTGCTTTCGCCGCTGACTGACTGAGTGAGGCGAAATCCAACCGCGAGTATTTATAAATTTATTTATCCGTTGATATATCGATTCGCGCATGGATTCAGTGTACGAGAAGAATACAGAACGAGTTGTATCGCTCGATGGCGAAGCACCTATGCCCATGCTGCTGTACAACGACGAAAGATATCCTCTGATCACTGACTGCTACATTTTCTCCTGAATTGATCCGTCCGCACTAAAAATAAATAGTAGCAGAAGTCGGTGGTTTCAGTCATGCTCGAGGCGATATTGCCATGGGATCATAAACGACAACATGTCGCTCGCCCCTTATTTCGCTGAGAAGCGGTTCGCAGTGAAAGTGTCACTGATGGAATACGGTCGCTCCGCTGGAAGGTTAGGCGACGACCACGTTGCAGTGTTGATGGCGATTCTGCCGCGACCACGGATGAAGATTCGCTATAATTCTGGTGGAACCTTCACCGAGCGACTGAAGTTCCGATCAGACTACTCCGCCAGACAGGGATTAATGCGAATAATCTTCCGGAGTCGTAAGTTTCATCTCCCCGCCGTCTGGGTCGACCCCTTGCCGATTCTTCTGCCGACGACGATTTGTTTCGTTGTTCAATCCGTTTGGGGTCCGGCGATTCAGGGGATCGCCGCGAGAATCGGCGATCCTTTGGAGCTGCTTCTCTTTTTCAGAGAATTATCGTAAAGTCTCTGGAATTTCCCGACGCTCCGTCGAAACTGATCAGCGGTCGCTGTGCGTATCTAAATAGATGTATCGTTTCCGTGAAAAAGTAACGTGGAATGCCTAGATTCATCATGGACGAATGTGCAGTTGCTAATGTCGCCGGCATTGAGCTTGTCACCGCTATCTCTGTCCGTCGGGTCGATTCCTGTTCCGACGTGTTGTATTTAATTTTCTTCGGAGGCTCCAGGTATCGGCTACAGCCAAAGGCAGCCTCCTGACAACCTACAGCTGCTGAATGTATAATTGCATCTTCAAGCTGTTGGATCTGTTCTAATTGTAGCCGCCGGCACGGGCCGAAAGGGTGATCTCAGACGACCAGAATTTGTGACATTAGGGCTTGCGGAGCAGATCGAAACGAGCATACGGATCTTCGACATTGACTACGCGAAGAATGATTGAGCTTGTTGTTCCGATCCGAGAGAATCTGTTCCGGATCCTTCTCAACACACTGTTTTTGCCTTGCATTCAATTCCGGTATCGGTACCGTTTCCCTGTTCCTGATTCGATCAAAACAAAAACTCGTTGCCGAAGATTTCGAGGGGCAGGTAACATGGAAATTAGAAGGGAACGAGAACGGTAATTCCGAATACGATTGGGATGAACTTTCAAATTTTTTTTGTGCCGGTGCCGAGCGACATCCAATCCCGGGCCCGAGCTCCGGCTTGGTGAATGCTCCGTGGCGCTGCAGATATTTTCTCTGTTGCTATTGATGCTATCCCGTTCCGGAAGCAGGTTCTTCGGGGACTGGGTTCGAACCCTTGCGTTCGTTGATCCGAAACCAAATCCTCGTCGAGGAACTCTTTCTTAATACTCGAGACCCGCGCCGCGTCAACGGTGTCTACCTGCTGAGGATGGGATGGCACAGGAAATCGGCGGTCGCGACATCGACGGTCGGAGCCACGGTTCTGGGACGCGTTCGTCTTGACGCGCGGGAAGAGCCCTCCGAGGACGCTCGGCGGCATTGAAAAAGTTTCTGTTCTCGTTCAAAGTTCAGCAGAGTCTGGATCCCCGTCGGGGCAGCGTAGCTGAGATCGAGGAGTTTATTCATAGTAGCCGGCGAGGAACGGCTGCAATTAATCGATCGAATGATGGAGTTCATTCGGGAGTCAATTCCAGAAAAAATGTATCTGAGAATCAGTCCGGTATCGAGCTTCGACGCCTCGTGATTCTCTTTACCTCCGCTGGCGTCTGTTAGCTCAAGAGCGTCTCAATGGCCAAGAGCAGTGATATTTTGAAATCGATCCATCGGCGACTGATATCCACAAATCTGCCAATTCAGAAGCATGTTTTTTTTCGGTGTTACGTAACACATGCGGCTCGTTTCGCGATGGTTCTCCAGGAATGTAACACGGAGCTTCTCGCCATGTAGATTGGCCAATAGACTTTCCAATTTCTGACATTGAGGTTACATTAGATGCTTCTTCTGCTCTATGAAGCCTGTCGAAACGCGTGAGTGTCGAGTGATTCGTCTTCCCTGTTCGATATGCTCACTCCGGTACTCCGGAAAACCTGGAATCGTCTGGCCAGAAACATTCACGCGGTATTTTTCCCCGGTTGCTCCAAGCTTCATTCGCGATGGTAAACAAAAACAGCTCGCCAATGTGCTCGAACGCGAGTGCTCATCGGCAGAAGAAAGGAGATGAAAGCTCACCGTATGCACTCAGGAATCCCGCATCATGTGCAGCCTATGGACCTTTCTATGAAAGCCGGAAAAAATCCAATGAGCGATGCATATGTATATCGGAACCTTATCAAACTCAAACAACACATCTTCTCCATGAAGCCGTCTACCTTCAGACGACTCGATAGGGTCCAATAGCTATGATACACGCAGTCCGCAGAATTAGGAATCGAAACTCCAAAGGTTCCTTCCGTAATTCTCAACGATAATCTATTTCATTTGTCCCCCTGGTCAAACTGTCGTTCGACGAAATCGCCTATCAATATCGGTTATCGTTGGAAAGTAACTGTGGAAAGAAGAGGAAACGCTCGCGGTCCGCAGCCCTTCGGAATTCACGGAACCGCCAACGAAACTATCCATCTGTGACGAGCGAACTTCGACAGTCTGTCACCCACAGGGATTCATTCGGTTTTTGCATAGAACCCCACAGTCCCCAGCTACGTGATCTGAGAGCTGGCTATCAGGGGCAGTTTTCAAGTATTCGTTCGCTTTCCCAGTCTCACACTTAAGATGTTCGGGCGAGAGCCGCTCCAGCTGAAGGCCGCAACTTGCATTGCCAACAGCTCCTCCTGGAAGCTCTTGTTCAGTAGCTTATCGCGCAGTTAATGAACGATGCTGTGCTTCAAATTGGATTTATGGACAAAGTTCGCGTTTTTTGTGATATTTTTGATTGTGACGCCGGAATGTGGTCAGTGCAGTTTACAAGAGGGCCGTGATTTAATAGGTGAAATCACGACTTTTTTCACTCGGAAATTCCTTCCGATCGCTCAGGATGTGTTTTTCGAAGTGGATGTTTCTTCGGAGTGTAGTGGATCCCTTCTCAAGATGGTTTCGGCGATGCGCCGGAGGGAGCCATGGGCTCTCAAGAGTAAGTGCCGACGGGAGAAAAATTTTGCAAGATTTCGTGGTTCATTTGACTCCGGTTTTCATCTAGGGCATGAATCGCGCCGCTATCGAACGCTATAATTTATTTATCCATTTCACTGTTCTTGTAGTGCTGACAGCGGGTGGATACGTCCCGAGCGGCGTTTTTTTCATGACGTTGACTTCACTCGGAAGTTACAGTCAGTGTCTTTCGACGACCGTCCAGGAAGAAAATGTTACGCTCTTCACCGGACAGTACTGTGGACTTCACGTGCTTCCCAACCAAGAAGTGTACGATGGGCTCCTAGACATCATGGAGCAGCTCGGTGACGTGAAAGTTAGTCGTGAAGCCGAAGCTAAAAACTACGAATCTAGCTGTTGAGCATTGTCCATTCGTAAATTCGGCTTTCGCCCGGAGACTGGATTGTCATGATTCGTTTCTCTTTTCATTAGAGGTCAGCGGCACCGCCATTGAGATATCAGAAGGACAGTTTTTATCGGCCAGGACTTCGCTTGGGTCTCTGTGTGCCGTCGGCATGCACGGCCGAAGAATTAGGCGCAATAGTCAGCAAAGGTAATTTTCTCAAGGCCTCACAACCGATGTAATTTCCGACCTCCCCGAAAGTTTCGGAGCCTTCATCGTCTTGTTTCCGCAGTTGCCGGACGGTATGAGCAATTCGCTGAGATATCTTCATGCCATACTCAGACCCAGGATGACGTCAGAGATCCTATATATTACTTCGCCATGTAAGTTCAGTTTTTCATGGACACCATTGCCTTTTCGGCGGCAGACAAACCGCCAATCGCCCCAATCACCCGCACGGTTCCGATGGCTCCGATTCTCGTCAATTTCGTGAGACCGGTAATCAGAAGTGTTATTGATTTTACGACAACTCCGCGGTATTTGGGATGAGATAAATAGACGAAATCAGAAATCCGGCGATTTTTTCGCCCCTCTGTCATCGGTATCCAATCCCGAACACTTCCGAAGTTCGTCGGCCAGTGAATCAGAGCTGTGTTTCGAGGGGTCAGACGAGAATCTGAGAGCGTTCCATTCCATCCCTCAGACTTCTGCCGTGCTTCCTCGTTTTCGTCACCGTTGCGGCGACCATGCTTGATCAGTACAAAATCAACGGTGAGTCATCTGTCCGGACAAAGTAGACCAAATGCTGTTGCGGCGGCCGTGGATGAAAAGTTGAGCTGCGAAAAAAGAAAACTTGTCATGACCTGCTTTCAGGGAACCCCATCGTAAAAGCGTTCAGTGCATCCCGCAATAACGCGCAACTACTCAGCAAACACCGGAGTGAACTCACATTTTTACATGGACTTAAAGCGCTCCTCGCATACTGGATTGTGATCGGACATTGCTACTTGCTCATCGATCCGTATTCGATATGTGAGTTGCTTGCTCTATCACAGTGCCCGAGAGCTCCGGACGGAGACGAGACTCCAGAATCCGACATCGATCGTATAAGGAGATACTTCTGACGATCGGAACGGAGCGCCGATCTCACTCACTATTGATCGGCAAAGCATTTCTGGCGACATCGCGCCAGACCTGGAGACGAATGGTCGACCGTACACAATCGGGACGGTTGCAAAATACGGCGCGCGTTTCTGTGAGGGCATGCTATCATACAATACTCTTGATGTGTGTCAACAAGAATATTTCGGCCTTCCAGTTACAATCAAAGAAGCCCTCGATATCCCAAAAACTATATTCTTCCAAATCGCCGCTACCGGAGCTTTCACCGGCGTGACTGTCTTCTTCGTGTCGAGGTGAGAAGTATTCCTCGGTTATTCTCGATGCTTCGACATCACCCGCACTAATTTCAAAGTCCCATCGATTGGGGGAAACGTATGCAAAATCGAGTTCTGGACGCCGCTGATCCACCGCCGTTTTCAGCGGTTTCGTTATGAGTTACTCGTCATTGGCCAAGAAGGATTCCACGCCTGGGCTGCAGTTGTATTTCGCTTCAATCGTGAGAAGGTATCGCCTTTGTTTTTTTTCGGTTCTGCCTTTCGTTCGTTAGGCAAGGAGAGTACAACCGTCCGCAAAACTAAATCTCGTCCTGGAATCCCGCCCTGACAGATATTACCGTCTCATGATTCCCGCGCTTGTCGTCCTGGCTGCGGCTTTGTCGCTCCCCTACATCGCGCATGGACCATTGACGGACGCCTACTTCAAAATGTTCACCGACTGCAAGACGAGTTGGTTGAAAATTCCGCTCGAGATCGTCAATACGGACTCGTTCCATCAGATGGTGAATATTCTCGATGAGGGAAAATAATTCCATCGATCTCTCTGCTGGAATATGATGCATGAGATCTCCTTGTTTCGCCTCCGCAGTGTCTCTCTCATTACTGGTACCTGTCAGTGGATTATCAGATCATGGTTCTGATCTTCCCCATCGTGATCGCCTACCGACGGTAAGCAGGATGTGCTTCCCTTGAACAAACGTGAATTATGGCTCCCCTTATCAAGCTTCGCAATCTCGGAATCATGTATCGAGTCTAATCGCTCGAGATGATTTCCAGCCATCCGAGGATGATGACCGTGTGCGTTCTACTGTTGTTCTTCCTGAGCGGAGTGGGCATTGCGGCGACGACGTACTTCATGAGGCTGCTTCCTTTCATGGGATTTAATTCCGATCAATCGTAAGATCTAAGATGTCTGTGGAGATTAAGATGCCCACGACTGGAGGTTGGGAGGTTGGAGCGGAACGGGACGGAAGGATATAACGTGACTCTGCTCGATCTGCTTCCAGGAAAATTGTTCTACTCCTGGACTACGTCTATTTCCTTCCCACGACTCACATAGGGACCGTTGCTGTGGGTCTTCTGACAGGTTGTCTCTCGTTCAAGTACAAGGACATCCGAATTCCATCGGTGAGCGGGACATCGAGAACATGGTTCTCGATTTTATATGAGTTTGGATTCATGATGTCTTCCCTCCGGGGGGCTTGTGTCTCTCAATAGTTGCGGAATGGGCACTGCCTCTGAGTGAGGAGTCTCATTGATTCGCTCTCGTTCCGAAGGCCTAATCGATCATTTTTGTTTCAGCACATTCGTACCCTGATCTGGTTGTTCACATCCACAATTGCTATTGTGGTCAATGTGGTTCCAGTGCTCTGGTATCATGACTTGAATATCCCTCCGTGGGCAGATGCTATGTACGCTGGCATTCATCGCCATCTGAACGCCCTGTGTGCAGCCTGGTTGCTTTTCGCCTGCAGTACGAGGAATGGGAGTAAGCAATATCCGCGAGGCTTCTCCGATCCCTGATTTGAATCGACAGGATTCCTAACCCTCAATCCAGCTCAGTACATCATCTCTTCGGACAGTAAAAGTATTTTTCTCATTTGCCAGAGACCCTCACGAAATTCCTATCGTGCTCGCCCCTCGTGTTCCTCGGAAAGTTGTCGTTCGGTATCTATCTGGTCCATTATCCGATTCTGATCTACTTCCTGGGAATCAACGGAACTCAACAACAGATGCTCCACTCGAGAATGGTTAGAATGTTTTTCAGTCGGGCGCCATCCGTATCCGGCCCTCTTTATTCTTCGTCGAGCGGACTACGAAGAGGAATATCCCCCCAATTCTAGGTTCGAGACTCCGTCGGGGTGTATTTCATCAGTGTAGGAGTGGCCTATGTGCTCCATTTATGCATAGAAGGGCCTGTCATCGCGGGAGACTCACTTTTCTTCAAGAAACGCCGACCGAGCGAGTCGTCTGACTTGCCGTCTTCTAAGCAAGCCAAATTGAAGGACGATATCATCTCCGAAGAGCTGAAAGCTGTGGTTTTGAGCTCGGCCGCTCAAATCAAATCTATATATAAGTTTTAGGACAGATCCTTGGAGAAGCTAGCTGGTAATTTATAAAGGTGTCAAAGTGTTCCCTCCTCGAACATTTGGGTCGACAAGGCAACAGCTGATAAAACCGTTGAAACGAGTCAGCGTTTCAAGTGATAAAAGGAAAAGATTCACGATAACGCAAGCGAATCAGAAATCTTCGGAAGCACTCGTTCTGATCTAACCTGCTTTGGAGCATTCAGTAGAGTTCTCGAGACCCGTTGTGTACATACACTGAGAAGCGAACTTAGGTATCTCAGTCAGAATCGAAAACTCTAAAAATTCGTATAATCGGGAAAGAGGCTCCGGCTACAAAAAGCTTAATTGGCATCAGGAACGGAAAAATTGAGATCACCAGATTCTTCAGTCAAAGCTAACACCACAAATGAGCTTTTCCCGATCGTTCGAGATGAACGATCCGTACCTCCGCCTGCGTCCAATTCTTCTTCCAGAAGATCCATATCTCGAGCTGAAGAGGCGTTGAAGAATCTTCGCGGCTCTTCTCGCGCAAACTAATGGACGAAATATGAATAAAGGCATGAATGAACCCAATCATGGAGAGAGCTTGTGTCTTATCCTTCGGTGTCTGTGTACTCGACGGACCGCGAGATCGAGAGCGAGCCATGTGTCTGCCGAGGAAGGAGCCGTGGGGCTGAGACATGGTCCGTAGAGCAAGAACATTATGCGTTTCCCCTCTGATTTCATCAGCATCATAAAGCTTAAGGGCGAACGGTGTATCTGCCCTGAGGAGAATTTCTCTTGATTATCTCCGCCTTCTGGGTGGAAATTGCTTATATCGAGATGGCTCCAGACGTCCACTCCGCTAGGGAGAGCTGAGCTCACACTTCACCTATTCTGAACTTCCTCTCCGACGCTCAATGCTCCGGCGTAGAGCGGGATCCGAGCTGTGGTACGAGATTGCCAGAGCGCATTTGGTACCTAGAAAGGGAGGACTTCCACACGGATTATGCGAGCGGGCCTCTCCTCCGGCGAGTCCCGGAATTGAGGGTCTCATTGGGATACGCACTCCATACTATGCAGAACGATCTCATTACAACGAACCTCGCGGGGCCGGTAAAATCTGTCCGTCGTCGCGAAAGTTCGCGATGATGTATGCTTCCCAACATTATCTCTATGACGAGCCAACGAACGGTCGAGGGAAAAGTGTTCGTCGCACTGAAAATTCGCTGCGACGCTTGCCGAACTCTATTCATATACAGTGGGCCACCGAATCTAGAGTGGGGGAGAGCGAGTGGATCGAGAGTTCTCCGATATCTCGCTGGTGAACGAATATGCTGACCGATCTCCATTCAGGCTCGAAGCATACTCAATGGATCAGGGGCGTCTGTTGGAACAAGGAAACGAGAAATCAGGCGGAGTGAATCGATCCACCAGCTAGAGTTAGATCGTTCTAGAGGGCGAGCTCCGTAGTTCCGTCTCCGGGTCATTCTTCCGTGTCATTGTCAGCATTCTCGCTATGCCCGCCCACACGTTGAAGTTCGCTCATCTCGCTAGGAAGAGGACATTTGGAAGCACGAGAAAGGTAAGCTCTCCGCACGGCCTAATACATCAGCTGGCGCGAGGGCAGGCATGCGCCGCATGAGATCCGTTCCTCGCGGGCCTTCACCAAGGACGCGTCTGATCCCATGAATACCAGGACATTCTGGTAAACTCGGCCTGGTTTTGGTAAACCTGCACCTAATCCTGCAGGAATCTGGCCGCATCACGTCATGCGATGTCCGGGATCCGCTCAAGACTCGTTTGGCACTTCTTCGCGCTGGTGTCCTCGAAGCCCGGCGTCGACGGGCATACGTATCTCCGAGCTCCCGGGGAAGCCCCACATTGATGCCGCCCGCAGGGGTCGCCGCAAGTCCTCGAAGTAATTTGAACACCAGGCTGGATTCTCGAGGACGAGAGGTAGGGCAACGGTCGATTCTAGTTTGATTGACCATCCATTCCAGTTCGAGTTCCTTTGTCAGGACATTTCCTGGAGTCGTTTCGCCCTCGTATGGCCACGGCTCGAGATTGGCGAGGAACGTCCGCATCCAAGCTTTCGGTATGATTTCTCTCGAGCTGTAGAGCTCCCGGAATTCCAAAAGCTTCCGGGTGTAGCAGAATCGATCTCTTTCGTCACGGACTCGTCTGTGTCAAACACATGGGTATCACGTACTTCGAATTATACTATCTGCCCTGCGCTATCATTGTGTGATGATTCGAAGACACACCTCGAGACTGGGCGCTTCACGGAACTTTTCCGAAGCGATCGGAAGTCAGGAATTTCCTCCAATCGCCCCTAAGAGTACCGAGTTCAGATACGGAGGTCGGAAAGAGCTTTATACTGGAAGATATTTCCAGCATGAATCTTCGCAAATGAGAACTCTGTTCGGTGCGAACTTCTAGCGGACATCCAATGCGCGACTCGTGCCTCGGTCCCATGCATTTTGAATCGGAATCCCCGTGGAGTGACAAGGGGGCCATATCCGAGCGTATGGCTCTGACTTCGACGAGTTCTTGTTCGGGGTGCGGAAACGGAGGTTTCGAGAAAGTTCCCCCCGGTCGGGAGGCTTCCCCATGATCAGCCATTATATCCTGATTGTGGTCATATTATAATTCGTTGCCGCTACGTTCCAAGTGTCCTCAGTCATGTCCATTGGAGGTTCCACGGATGGAGACAGCGAATTGCTCCTTGCCTCTGAAATTCTCCGCGGATATATTGGTCCGCCCGAATTCTAATTTCCGATGACGCCTCTCCTTCGACAGCGAGACCGATCTAGCGACAGACAGGCTTCTTCTCAGGGAATGCCGCGAGCGACGAGGACTTCAGCGCACGATGACAGCGTCTTACGAAATCTTGAGTCACTACAGTAAAGCCCAGAAAAATCGTCTCCCGGTAGCACACGGTTATCAACGGCGAAATGACGAGTTCTACAGCATCGAGACCTTCGGAGGTCCTCCGTCTAGTTCGGGATTTCTGATCCTCACGTAGCGAAGTTCATTCTTCACGATAGGTGTCGTCTACGGATTTACTTGCAGTTTACGCATCTGCTTCCCAGAGTACCTTATCACCTGTCCGAGGAACGATTCGCGCTTGATCACCGGATCATCCCCTCTCAGAACATCAGGATTCGGATTTCCCGCGACGCTTGAATGTCGGTTTGCTCTGAAACTGGGCACTGCCATGCGAAATTCGAAAGTCTCCTGGGAGATACCGGTGTACGTCAACAGTTGCTCTCTTGATAGTCAAGCCGCAACGGTCGTGATCGAAGATCCCGCGGCTCTCTTCCACGAACAAGGGCGCTGACGTCCAAATCGTTGAGGCGGGTCGACTTCACTATCGAAAAGCATGGGTCCTTCGCTCCAATTTCTAACTCGATTGCAATCCACAATGCCAAATCATATATAAAGCCTCTCGGTCTCATGGAGCAGCACCACTCGACGGAAGCATCATGAACCTGCCTCTGATCATCGTCCTGTTGTCGCTTTTGGCTTTAGCTAAAAGCAACCCCTTCTTCATCGCTGCCGCAGCGACACAAGTCGTCGCGGCTATCGTCAAAATCGTCGACAGGACAGAACAGCGATCGGTCATCGTAGAGAACCACGGTCGTCACCACGCGCATCTTTGGTGTGAATCTAGGGACGACAAGTGAGTTGCGTAAAAAGTCACATATGTGTTTCGTGAAACCACTTGGTGTTTCGCGCCCTCATGGATGGCCCCTCCGATCGAAAAGCGAGCTCGAACCCGAAAGAACGTGACTCCGATTAAACGAATTACGCATGGGTGTTCCGAAGAACTCCACGGTCCATGAGTTTACCTCACGAGGCCCGATCGCAATGCAGTTCCAGAGCGAGGGATTGCCAGGCAGACGGCCGACGGAAATATTTTGGCGAGCTCGAATGCTTCAAAAAAGATTTTACTCCACAAGATTCCCTCTGGGCATAGGAGAAACCTTTCTTCGGAGGGTTTTCACCGTAGCTAGTTTGAAACATTCTAAGTCGAACCTCTATCAAACAGAATTGGCGGCAGCGACGGTGTTTGGATCGCACCAGGGAAGTCGCTGGGATGGGCCTTCGGGAAGGGATCGAAGACGCAATTCTGGTGCAACATGGATTGGTGGGGTCAGCGCGTCGGCTGGGACGCTTACGTCCACAACTGGAAGGATGCCCCAAAGATCACCAAATGGCACATCCGTGACGACGGCGTCTACGACGAGTGGCGCGGTCGCAAATGGCGGAATCTGAAGTCTGAGTGAAATTCTCCATCGTCTAGCTCATCTTTCCAACGCATCCAACATCGCTCAAATAAAAAGAAATATCGACGAGAATTTCGAGAAGACGCCGATCTCATCTCTTGGAGGCTAATTCCGGGATGCTCTTCTCCTCGCGTCCGGACCTTTGTCAAAGGGGAATAATTTTCAGCAGAACTTCTCAGGGAGACAACAGGGAGCAACGGATTGAATCTTCGAGTGGTGCTTTCCAGAGAGATAACTTCCACTATCGAGAAGTGCCTCGCAATTGGCTAAAACGACACCATGGTGCCCCCATACCTCGCTCCCGGTGCCGGCCCGAACCATCTCGCGGCCGAATCCGTTCGAGACCGGGGGCCGGTATTCTAGCCCGACCTCGACTTCGACCGGCATCACGAAATCGAGACGATATAAAGTCGTAAACTGCTTCTTTCACTGCTACATCACCAGGAACTTGGCACTCTACCTCCGACTTCACGACTCATTCGTGATTTTCCGTCTCTTGTGCTGCTGATTGGTGTGGATGCCCCACCGGACAAGACATACCCGCATGATTCGAACTGTCCAGTCATATTTCTTAGAGCGGCTCCATCTTCCTCGTGCGTTATTTGATAGAAGTCTCAGGATACGTCCAGTGGAGAAGACCCTTGAATGTTCAAGAGTCTCATCGCCAGCGGACAAAGCGAGCTCTCGTTTGGTACCCGGAACAGCTGCCAGAGAAGCCAATGGGTAGTCCCCCAAAAGCTCGCGTTAACACCCTTCGTGGATATGTTCTCATGGAGACTCTGCACGAGAGTCTCGCGACCCTTTCATCAAGATTTTTTACCATTACTGTGCTTTCAACGTCGGAAACTGAATCCCACGCCTCCCCCTCCCCCTTACAAAGTGAAAACATCATTGGAACACTGAGATTGATCGACATTCAGGCCTCGATGCTCGTTCTGATCGCTTAAAGATTACAGATATTCCTAGTTCACGAAATAGTCTGATGTTATTCCTTCCAACCATCCATAAGGAGACTGCATGTGCCTCCCCGGCACCTCTAAGAAGGTCAATCGACCCGAATCGTAGAGTTCCTTGAGTCCTATGAGATCTTCCTTGAACACGCGAGTTGAAGTGAAGTTCACAATCTCACGACCTTGTCCCTCGCGGTAGTATGCGAAATGTGAACTTTCGCGCGGAACGATTACCTCGTCCTCTGTGTTCCGCGCTAGGACGAAGTTCTTCACTGTAGCGGAAGAGGACGAATAATGAGTGTTCTCGCTCACAGAGATGCGCTCATAAAACTCGGTGAATGGATCTTCGAATAGGCATCGATCTCACGGCATCCTCGGGTATCGCCTTACCTTTGAGCAAGTTTTGCTTGAAGGTTGCGTTGAAGTTTCTCTCGTTGTTATAGATTGCGGCGAACTGAGATTTCTGGCGATACGCTTCTTCCCGAAGGGGATCGTGCCAGTATTGGATGGGAGTGAATAGTTTCTGAACTTGCGGCGTGTAAGCCGCGTGAGTCAGCGACTTGCTTATGAAACGGCAAAGGAAAGCGGGCACCGACTTGAAGCAATTCGGAATCCCTATGCGGAAGGTCTCGGGTTAGATGAGTCGCCAGACTCGAAGCTAGAAGAATGATTCACCAGAGGAATGGAGCAGCGTTTCAATCCTGCACTATTCTCAGACGAATACTCACCGAAAATGCCCTGATGTGGAGCCGAGAATGTGACGAAGTTGTGGACTTCAGACGGAGGACATGTTTGTATTAGAGCCCGCAAGAACAAGCCGCCCTGAGATATTCCGAATGCATTGAAACCGTTTTTCAAATTCTCATCTGCATTCACTCTGGCACAAGCTATCTCCAGCTGTTTCTGGCCAAGCATGAAAAGACTATTGCGATAGTCGATCTTCGGTGTATCACCAATCTGAATGCAGTGTACGTACAGGTCCGGTGCTCTCGTTTCTGTTGGAATGTGGAGGATGGAAGAGGTCAAAATCACCATCATTTCTTGCACTAGGAAATCAGCGAGAGGGAATTCGACCAGACCCCATGCTCGGGATCCGAGTCAATGTCGCTCTCGCATATGTAGAAGCGGAACTTGCCCGTCCCAAATCGTTCTTTCCGATGCGGAACATGTCGTACAGGACGCAAATACATGAAGCTCAACATAGGTAGCACGACCTCTCAACAGTCCGATTTATCTCGCGTGCATTGATTCGCTAGCGAGGATATCAAGGTCAGACCTCGAGTCCGCGAGCCGAAAGTGCGGGGAACGCGACCTGCATCTCACATGGCGCCGGGACCCTTTTCTGGTTCAGATTGTCCGGAGCATATCTGTCGCTGAGCGGATGTCTCCCGATTCATTGGAATCAATGGCATTCGTCACGAAAAGCGGCTGTCTAAACCTTGGGAGACTCACTTATTTTCGCGATAAGCGACGAGGTGAAACCTGCACAATCATCATTGATTCCGTGCCACACAACCAGTGGGCGCAGGGCCTCGGATCCGACAAACAAAAGAAAAATTGAATGGATGAACCTCATTTCGAGTTTGTCCGAGCTCACTGTCACAGACCCCTGGCCTTAAATACTGGGGAAGTTTGATGCGGGAGTATACGAGGGATCATCTGGGATGGATTCGTATCGGATACCTTTCACGTCAAGCGTAGCACGAAAATCCCGCTGACTGGTATTCGCAAGGCAAGCGAAGGTCAATGACTCTTGCTTTTTCTCGCTTCTCCGCTGTCCCGACGGTACAAAGTTCAAACGATTCGGCGTATTCCTCCCCGAGAGATCGACCGCGTGAGGACAGATTCCCCGTCGTGATTCGGGGCAGATAACGAATGTCGTCTCTGTCTAATTTTTTAGCCCCTCGCTCCTTGATTGCCCCCTGTCCACCTAGACAGTCTGTGTAGAGCTCCCTCGGGAGTTTTAAGGAGTTTTCCTGAGAGAGGCAAAAATACTACCGTGTGGAGATGCCTATATATGATCTCATCTAGTGTGCCTTGGGATGAGATTCCGCTCTTCGATGATTCCGACTTGCTGTACAGAATTTATCCACACAGCATACTCCGCAATCTATAGCCTCGTGAGCAAATGCACCATCGCTCAAGGGAAATCATCAAAATACTCCGACTGTTTCGTGCGTCGCGTCGGCGCAGATGGCATGCAGTGTGAATGTCCGAAACGTCTGTCAGTCCAAACGAGTCGTCGGCTAAAACCCGTTCAAGGTAAGGCAGATTCCCTCAGGCGGAGTGACGGGGAGAGCGTCTCCAGAGAGGACAATCTTCCGGTTTTCCCCCGAGAAGCCAGGGTGACTGTTCACGTCCGTAAATCTGCGATCGTATGGTGATACGAGCCGTCGCCAAGCGTCGGAAGAGCTGCTTCCCCAGCCTACAGAGATTTGCATTGATCCTTGCAGAGATTAATCTCAATATAAGTCTAGTAAGATCCATGCCCTGATTGAGTCATTTCGTGGATCTATCCGGATTCTCGAGCCGCCTCGTTCCTGATATCGATATATTCCCTTCAGTACCTTTCTCTACATTTTCTGAGCACATCTATATGATCCAGACTACGAGCTCATTTGCTTGCCAGATCAGCTCAAATTGAGACTTTGAGTATATAACCACCGGATACGAGATAGTTTTTAACGTGCGATATGAGGGCATCCCTTGCTTCTTCCCGGAGGCTTTCCGGAAGTTTCCCGTTTCTTCGAAACAATCATCAGGTGGACGCACCAGATGACTGACGTCGTCCCTCTCGCCGAGATGAAAAAAATCCATTAATCCTGTATATTATCTGTGCAAACTCACCTACTGACGACTCTATTAGGCTCCCCGAGAGGGAGAGAGAGAGCTCATGACGCTACAAGATCATCTTCCCGCAGACATCTTTCTGTAGCCTCATGAGAAGGCCCGAAGAACTCCTTCCACGCATTTGACAGGATAGCTGTGATGGGAATGAGAAGTCCGAAGATGGGAGACCCCACATGGTTGTCGTTCGGCGGTCGTCTCCTCAATGAGAGATGCTCCGTTGACAATTCGGTGACGGGGAGCCTTCTCCGCAACCGAAATGTCATTCGCAGGATGAGCGATGGCGAACCCAGAATGCCTGCCTTCTTCTCTGAGGGAACCGATGAAAGGATACCTTCCGTTCCGGAAACGATCGGAATGTGAAACACGGGTTTCGAACCGGTTCATCGGCTCGCTTCTAAACTGAGATCCCAGCGAGCTATGCTTCAGCCCTAGTCGTAGTGCCAGCTTCCGGGAGCTCGTCCCTCGAGTCCGTCTTCCGAAAAGCTGTATCGTGAAAGAAACCTCCGTAGGTTTCTCGTCTCCTGGCCGCTCAGGTTCAGCGAGTATCGTGCAGCCTTACGCAGAGATGGTTCAGTGGTGGCACTGGGTACTACATGTACATAGGGAGTACCTTCCCGAAGCTCCATGGAGAACTTCCTCGACGCTGAGGCTGGCGCCCAGGTTGATGGAAGCATTGCGGAGCCTTTCAAGGCTGGAATCGCGCGAATCGAGAACCTGACGATCCATACCACAAAATCGAATGTTCATTCCCCCGATTTCATGGCAGTCAGCCTAATGATCGAGCGGCTGTGAGCAGCGCTCAGCAGAACCCGACCGATCCCGGTTTGATTCCAATGCTCTGCGAAGATCCAGACGATCGGGAGTCCGTCGGAAGGAGCCGAAAGAATCTCTCATTTGTATCCCATATTAGATGTTAATATATCCCTCCCTGCTTCATTTGCCATTATAAAATAGAGTCATATCGTGCGCACCGTGGGATAGCTCGTATCTACACGGGAACCCCGTCTTCCTCCATGGATATAAGCTTCCAGTGGGGGACCAAAGACACAGTTTCAGTGCAAAATGGATTGGGGGATACAAGGAGTCTCGCAAAATCCGCTATTTTCCCCAGTGAGCTCCTCCAGAAGATATGTGTAGATGGCGCCCAAACACCAGGATAGAGCGTGTATCTGGAATGTATTCTGTCTACTGTGGGTCTCGCTTGCCCTCACGACGTCCTCCCCTTTTATACTGTTCCTCGCGCGAATTCCGGACAGTTTCGAAATCCTATACTCATCCGGAGAGCCAACGAATGAATTTGGTGACACAGCGGGTGATTCAGGAATCGACCAGAACCGTAATGATTCAGCTTGCTGTTCGTAGAGCTGGTCCGTGCCGGATGAAAAGCCGTTGGCTCTTGCGTCTCCCAAGTTTTTTCTCATCTATCATCCCTCAAGGGAAAAAAACTCTGGTTGAATTCGAACATTTTATTCAGAGCGACCGCTCCAGCGTTTCATCGCAGGGTGGTGGTGATCGAGCGCGCACCGGCTTCGACCACAAAAGATTTGCCATCATTGTCTTTGATCAGCACTTTCTTCGCTGAATTGTTCTTGTTCAATATAATCGTCGCTCTGAGCTTATCGGGCCGGAGGAAAGTCACGGCAGTCAATCCACTTTGGTAGCCCACGAGGGTATCGTCCAATCGAACCTGGAATCGGAGGATCGATACTGCCAGCTGCCAGATAACGCAGAAGCATTGACGGATCTATCAAGAGGGGCAATATTCTTGCGAGCGACGTGTCAAGGTCCACTTTTATGGCTCGGGAGGATTTTCCACCCATTCGACTCACCGATCCTCTGGGGAGGAACTTGCTGAAATGCGCCATTGCGTAATACATAGGCTGCTTGTAGAAGGTCTGAGTGTCCCTGTCCACGATGATTGGTGAATCGACGTAATTTCCGACCCAATTAGGACCTCCCTGAGTATCGAGGAACAAGTTCCAATCCACCCAACCATTGATATAGTGCCGGAGGTCGTCGAGGATGTGCTCAGCGTAGGACTCGGCTCGCTCCCAGCTCCCTGAAAATCGGAATGAGAATCTCTGTGTTCCCCGGTCGCGGAAAGGGATGTTAAAGGGAAAACGAAGATAAATCACTGAGTCTATGCCGAACAAGATTCTCACCCATGATCACGGCCGGAGCCGAGGCCTGATAACCTTCACAGGCCTCGGTGTATAGTAAGAACTTATCCGGATGGTTCCTATACGTGCTCTCCAGAACTGACGCGCTCGTCAAATTATCTTTGTACCAATGGACCGCGACTCCTGCCGCATACGAATTCGCCTCGGCGTCGTTGAATATAGCGTTTGCCCAATAAGGCAGAACAACCCGATCGTCGTCTAGAATCATGATTTTTATCGAACTCCCGGCGGCCTTGAACAAGGCGGGACCGAGATCTTTCTTCAGGAATTCACGTTCAGTGTAGGGTGTCATGGCCATTGTTTGCCACTTCCAAGGGAGGAAACCTGTCGTCGGCTCGTTTTGCAAGGTGAATCCCCACATTGTGAGCCCATGATCTCTGTAAGCTTCGTAAAACTTCACGAAGTAGTTTGCCCAAGTCTGATAGTATCGACCTCCAGGAGAACCTTTCAGACCTCCTCGACCGATCGTTTTCCCGTTCGTTTTCATCCAAGCGGGAGCGGACCATGGAGATCCGTAGAGGAATATTTCTTCTTCGCTGAGGCTCTTCGCGAATCGGATCATAGGAATTTTCAATTGGAGATCTTCCTGAGCGAGCGCGAATTTCCTGAGCTCGAAGTCTCCTGCCGAATCGTCGTACGTATAGTCTCTCGTTGAAAAGTCACAACCGCCCATCGGAACTCGACCGATGTTGTACTCCAAGCCCTCCGGACTATAATAAGAGGTCAGTAGCCGTCTCTGGAGATTCGGGCTCAGCGAAGCCCAGTTTACCCCAGCGGAATCGGTAAAAGCACCTCCGAAACCTATGATCTCTTGGAGCGTTTTGCTCTGTACGCTCACTGTGAGATCCATGTCATCGCCCGGGGCGTGGTGGAGGAACTCCGCTGTTCTCCTTTGGAATCGCTCACCAGCCATCGAGCTTCCGTATATCGTGATTTTTCCATATTCCGCTCTTACTTGGCCGATATCGTCGCAATGGGTTGAATTGCACAGGCAGACAACGGAAGAGCTGCCAAACTCCTTCGAAAAGCAGGTTTCACTCCTCACACAGATCACGAGCGACGAGAGCACCACGGCAAAGCATCTCCGACGCATTTTCAGCTGTGCTCGCAAGCGATACGGGATCGCTACGTCCGTATACTAGTTGTTGAGTGGGCCGGCGCGTTTGGAGTTGACGCTCCTCCAATCGAACGGATTGGGAGGCCCGTCTTAGAGATCGGGCTGCGACATCAGCGAGACGAGAGCTTATCGTTCGCAGACGAAATCCATTGAGACTTTCCACCGCGGGACATCCCGACCCATGACACTCATGAGCTAAAGCGTGAAAGCTCCTTTTCTGACGTCAGACGGCCGAAGCTCCGCGATATCGGTGCCACCACCGAGAAATGAGCACAGCTACTAGCGGACTCTCAATCACGATCGCTGATCGACTTCGATTCCCATCGATTCCCTCGGCGGATAGCAACGCCCGGGCTCCGGAGGATCTGATCCCGCTAATTTTCCTGCTGATCTGATGGCAACATCAGCTGGAATATCCATATCCTGTGACCTCCGAAAGCTTTGCGTCAGCTCTCCGAGTGGTATCCTTTTGACGCGGAGAAAATTGCTTGATTCTTCTTCGGGTCCTCACTAATTCTCAGTGGCTGTTCTCGTATGTCTCTATCGCCAACTCTGAGATTCCCCGAGAAGAGACGGGCAGTTATTCCAAAACGAAGCATCCATGCCATCGTTGGGATCTCTCGCATAAGTTCTGCGTCTCTTCTGTGAAAACTCTAAACCGAACTGCCGAGCACTCACGAGCTCGTCACCGGGGAGACAGAGCTTTCTAAAGGTCCTCAAGCGCCGCCTCATCAGGGAATCGAGTCGGAACAAACATTTCTGGGAGAATTTTATTCTTCATCGCAAAGGGCCTCGGGTTTTATCGCAGAGTCGTTATAATGGACCTTGCACCCGCCTCGATCATAAAAGATTTCCCGTCACTGTCTTTGATGAGAACTTTCTTTGCTGAATCGTTCTGATTTAATACGATTGTCGCTTTCAGCTTATCGGGTCGGAGGAAAGTCACAACACTTAGCTTCCTCTTGGAGCCGACGAGTGTATCGTCTAATCGGACCTGGAATAGAGCGAGTCGGTGACATAAGCGGTTCGAACGATAGGATTGACAGACCTCTCAGTGAGCCAATCTGTTCCACAACGTCAAGCTCCGTTCTCACAGCTCCCTGTTGACAAGCCATTGTTTCTGATGCGACTTACTGATCCTCTTGGGAGAAATTTGCTGAAGTGTGCCAGTGCGTAATACATCGGCTGCTTGTAGAATGCCTGAGCACTCTCATCCACGATTATGGGCGAATCTACGAAATTCTTCACCCAGTTCGGGCCCCCCTGGGTATTGAGGAACAAGTTCCAGTCGACCCAGCCGCTCACGAAGTGCCGGAGGTCATCGATGATATTTTGAGCGTACGACTCCGCTCGCTCCCAACTCCCTGGGAAACCGGAATGTCGATTATTCTCTGCCTTTGATCGGTGATAAATGTACCTCACCACACCCGGCCTGGGGGAATGATACCTACAATGAAAATATCTTCGAATCGCTACCTCGCGGAATTCTCACCCAGGATCACAGCAGTGGCGAAGGGTTGAAAACCTTCGCAGGCCTCGGTGTTGAGGATGAACTTGTCCGGATGGTTCCTATGCGTGCTCTCCAGAGCCGATGCGCTCCTCAAGTTGTCCTGGTACCAATGTACCCCAACCCCAGCCGCGTACGAATTCGCCTCAGCATCGCCGAATATGACGTTTGCCCACCAGGGCAAGACTACGCGGTTATCGTCAAGAACCATGATTTTGATGGAATGGTTGGTGGCCTTGAAGAGTGCGGGACCGAGATTTTTCTTCAAGAAGTCCCGTTCGGTGTAGGGGCTCATCGCCATGGTTTGCCATTTCCAGGGGATGTAGCCTGTTGTCGGCTCATTTTGCATAGTGAAGCCCCACATCTCGACTCCGCGGTCTCTGTAAGCCTCGTAGAACTTGACGAAATACTTTGCCCACGTCTCATAGTATTGGTCGCCCGGGAACCCCTTGAGACCTCCCATACCGAAAGTTTTTCCGTTCGTCTTCATCCAAGCGGGCGCGGACCACGGTGATCCATAAAAATAAATTTCTTCTTCACTGACGCTCTTCGCGAATTGGATCATCGGGATTTTCAGCTCGATATCTTCCTGAGCGAGCGCGAAGTTCTTGAGCTCGAAATCTCCTTCTGTATCGTCGTACGTATAGTCCCTCGTTGAAAAATCACAACCGCCCATAGGGACTCGTCCAATGTTGTATTCCAAGCCCTCTGGGCTATAATAGGAAGTTATCAGCCGTTTCTGGAGATCCGGAGACAGCGAAGCCCAATTGACCCCAGCGGAATCAGTGAAAGCACCTCCGAAACCTATGATCTCCTGGAGTGTTCCACTCAGTACGTTCACCGTGAGATCAATGTCGGCTCTCGGGGCATCTTCGAGAAAGTCCGCCGTACTCCTCTGGAAGCGCTCACCCGTCATTGAGCTCTCGTAAAATGTTATCCTGCCATGTTCCGCTGTCACTGGACCGATATCACTACAATTCGTCGGGTTGCATACACAGACCACAGACGATCCACCAAAACTCTTCGTGTAACAGATTTCACTTAACACACAGATGAGACCGGAGAAGAGGACTACGGCTACGGCCTGTCGACGCATTTTCGGTTTTGCCTGCCACTGGCTCGGGATCGTCGGGACGAAGTCTCACCGGTCGGTGGACAGCGCGCTTTTTAGAGAGGCCGCCATAACCAGAGGGATTGGGAGACCGGTCATGGTGATCGGTCTCTATCTGTGACACGAGTGCTAAGCCGTCGCTTGCGAGAGCCTCCCGTCGTTCAGCTGATATCACCGACGACAAGAGGTCTCCACACATCAGCTGTTCAGGTGGATCGGCGATCGTTCACCCCAGAGAGGCAGCACCAGAATACCGTCGCTCGGCCGCACGTTCGCCTCGGATTTTTGGTACGAATTTCGATTTCCGGCCGCTTGTCGCCGTGATTCATCGCCGAGCGACATGCTCGGTTTTCGTGGATTCCGAAAAAGACAACGATGCCGCCTAAAGCAATCTGAAACTCGCAATGCCCTTCGAAACCACATGGAACCTGTAATGAGATCTTCCTGCGGCTAGAGGCTTGCGGATCTCCTTCCTCGGTGCTCGACTCTGATTATTTCGAGTTTAAACGCTCGAACTACCCTTCCTCAAATCTGATAACCCGCGAAGGGGGCGCGACAAGCCTCCCTCCCACCTCCAGACTAGCCTTTCCTGAAGTTCTCAATGAAACGTCCCGTATCCGAAGAGATCTCATTTACAGCTTCTCCATCTTCCATCGAGGCCTAGAAGTCATTACGAGCTTCGAGAAAGAACAGGGAAACGTCGAGCTCTAATGGGAGAGCGCCATTTTTCGTGCAATTCGCCGAATAGCGGCGAGTTGCCACTGGAGGGATCTGGAGGAGAAAAGCTTGTATAATGATTTCATCGTCTTGCTCCTTCTCCGAGCAGAGCAGATCTCTTGAGACGGATACATCACCTGGACCCGCGAGCTCGATTAGAAACGAGTGACTAGATGTACCTTCACCTGGATTGGATGTCTTCACGTCTGAGCTCTCCCGCTTTCTTGTGATCCGACACACTGGCGTCCCATCAAGATGCCTAGGGTTTCAAGGCTTCCCGAAAAATTCGGTTCGACGCTCTTGGGTTCTTACGGTCTTGAATAAGATTCAAGATTTTTGTGTCGCTTTCTTGGTCGATTCACCGGGGGAACACTTACACCCTACTACATACACCGGGTGGCCACCACACATACCGGCTCGGAATCCACTCATCCGATTGAATGGATGCCCAGGGATACGGCAGTTCCAATGGAGCCGCAGGCGAAGATGACATCCGTCCACGATTCCTGAGACTCCGGCTCGATGGGAACTGATAGGTGGAATCAGCCTGGATCAGCTGTTAGGTCCTCGAAGCTCGCTGCAAAGCTTCCTCGAGAATGATTCCCGAGTCCCGAAACTTCTCCGTCGTAGGGCTACGGGCTCGGATTGTGAGACGGCGCGAAATAGTTTTGGAACCTCAACTCGCCTGGGCCGAAGTGGATGGGCCCGCGGTATGCAATGAGGTGGACCAACGCATCAGGACAGGAACCCTGGTGTTGACGGCCCTGAATACTAGCGGTGACAACAGAGTGATGTGGTGTCAATTCGACGAAGTACATATATTCGGGCGTTTCGGTAGTCCCGTTGCGGACCGCAATGTCTTGTGGGAGACGATTGAAATAGAAAGGTATCTGAGAAATAAAGATGATACTTTATTGCAGTTTTTGTACAGGGTAGGGTTAACTTAGCGGCCTCACGCCCAGCGCGCCGCCACCTGAGGGTGTAGACAATGGTTGTATTGATCAAGTCCAGGTGTTTAAAATCGAAATCGAACTGTTGACAAATATCACATCGAGAGGGCTGCCGATCCCCAACCAGCGAGCGAAGTTCTCTTATCAACGTGAATCTCTCTCTCTTAATCATCATGTTGGGCTTTCTAGGGGGCTATCATAGCGTCGATGGGAGATTCTACTGATTATTCTCCAGCCGAATCCTCTATTGCGTGCTTCAGGTCGTCAGATATAATCCCGAGCCAGACGCTTGGATCACTGTGCCGATTAGTGGATAAGGTAGTGCCAACTACTTGTGACCTCTCGATACTACGTCCAAACATATTCAAACGATCGTGGGATGCGATCTACGGTTTCGAGCCATCCCCTGGAGCTCAAAGTGCTCATTGGCACCGTTGTTTGAGGGTGTGTTTTCTGAAAACTCACGAACACGTACAGTTTTTGACACTAAGGCTTCTCGTCGCTACGCAAGCAACTACGAGTCCCGACTAATACTCATGCGAATATCAATTTACGGTGACCACAAAACTCCGTCTAGGTTCTCCAACGGGATATTCCTCCGCTCCCGAATCGGACACGTTTTGTGCTATTCACGGTTCACGGTTCTTTCGTGAGCGATCAATTAGGAGCAGTCACGTCCCTTCCGAAATTTCCAGCAATTTCAGATGACGTTCAGACGTTTCCGAAGATGAGATTCGAGAGCCACCGACCTTACACACCATAGTTTACAGGAAGTGAACAGTCTCGAGTATTCTCGACGTTCCTTATCGATTGAGTCACATCGACGTGTTGGCCGTCTCGGGCGAAATCTGATGCACCGGCGTCTGCGACGTCATTTTTTGATTCTGATGCACGGCAGCGAGCTCATGCTTGACTGCAGCCGCTACGGTGTGATGACTTTCTTTCGCGGCAGCCATCAGAGCGGCCGATGCCTCGCGTCCGTGATTGAGTTTCCTCGATATGATCCGAACCGCCGAAAAACGGGCTCGTTTGTAGGCAGCCAGCACACCCACGCCGAGGACCCGTAAACATACGTATTGGATCAAGGCGGCCAAGCCGACCGAGAGAGATCTCAGCGCAATGTGGGTGTATAGTTTGACAACAAGTATCGCGGCGGTCGCCGAACAGCCCATCAAGGCGACGACGAAACAAGTCTGCATCCAATTCACCGTCGAAAGTCCGGACGGCAGCCACACCCCTCCACGCTCCAGAACGTACTCTTCGTTGCACACCTTGCAGCGGCTGCATTGGGAACTGCCAGCGCTCTCTACGAGCCAAGTCTTCAAACAATCGTGATGAACGACTGAGACGTCTCCGCGGCAATTGCACGGTCTGATGAGGGGCCCGGCGTTCTCGCGTTCGCTATCGTAGCAGATGAAGCATTCCGGAGGTCCCAAACGCTCGACGGATCCGAGATCTGTAACGACAATTTTTCTTTAGCTTAATTGGGGGGGGGAGATAGAGAGAGGAGGATAACTATGAATCGATTTCAGTGAGTCTGACTCTGCAGCACTCGATCGCGTACCATTAAATCGTGAGAGCTCTTCGTAGACATTGGTCTGCGGAGGTTTCCTCATGAGGAGTTTCTTGGGGTTCAGGATCCAGAGCTGTTGCGGTTGGACGCAATTCCACAAGACGCAAGGGAACCACAGCGCCAATCCTATTTCGATGACTCGGAACGAGACTTCGTAAAAGTTCCGTGACACCAGCGGCACGTGGTCTTTCCACAGAGGACCAGAAATGTCCGACAAGATAAATAAAGCCGTAACCAGGGTAAGGGTGGCGTAAGTGACCAAACCGACACGACTTTGGTGAAGTTGAGATCTGCAAAATAATTTCGTTAGTGGAGGGCTCGTTCATGTGTATTCGACCCTCGTGAGCTGTACCAATGAATTCAATTTATCCTCCGGACTTCCTGGCAATTCCTTCTTTGATCATTGTGGAAATTATCTTGGAAAAAAAATCGATGAGGAAATAATTTTCAATGCGAACCTGTCAGGGACGTGATTCCCGAGTGAATGAGGCCCCATGTTCGAGAGGAATGCTCCTCGGACCTTCACAAATACTTCCACACCATAAATGAGGAAAACCACCACCACAAGCACCATCAGAATGGCGAACGAGCCGTTGAAGATTCGGAATAACAGGAGCCGCTCATCCTCTCGGTAGCCTGCGGGTGAAAACCTCTCGGATAAGCAAGCGGCTCTCCGCTGAAATCCCGTCGTTTTCCAAGAATGGATTTAGTCCGCGGTCGAAATCTCGTAAGCTGATCAATGGCCCAGCACCTCGTCGGACTCACCGGAGAGATGGGATGATATCATCTCCAGAATAAGAAGCGAGTACGACACAAAGTTGAACACCAAGAATCCGAGAAGAGACTTCGATAGGAAACCGGGTGGGTCGATCCGGGCTTCTCGCACATGGAAAATCTCCGCCCACAGACAGACGATGATGGACGAACCTGAAATCACGACATACAATGCATGGTGTAGCTTTTCCCTAGTTCAAACGCCTTCCGTTGCGGAACTTCTGAGGATCCATCCGAGATCTTGAAGAGGATCGGCTTCAAGCCATGCCTCACAGAGTTTCCAAGCCAGGCGGAAACGTGGTCCACTAACCCAAGCTACGCAGTCTACGTGTTGCTTCCACGAGAGCACGGAAGACCGCCGAAATAAGTGGACGGGCTGCTATAAAGGTTAATGGACTTGGCGTGACAGAATCTAAGCTATGAGAGGTCACCGAGCGTCCATGGAAAAAGTGTTACAAGGAGCTCTATGATCTCGAGGGAGGAGAGCAGACTCCCGCCGTGTCCTTTATTCTCCGGTCGGCTATGTGTCCATCGGAAGGATCAGACGTGACATTTGCAAAAGTTAAGTATCCTCATCGAGTGCCGCTCTCCGGGGAGAGTCGCCCCAGAGCAGTCTAAATGAAATGATCTCTCTGTGGATTCCACCTAGCTACATATCGCACTTAAGTTCTCACCGGTCAATAGGAGGGGATAGTACGCTGTCAGGAGACTCTTGGCCCATTGCAGCTCAGAGTTGTCAGGGCTCGAGTAGTAGAATCCACGGAGAGCCGTCGCCACGCAAATCAATCCGTAGAGAGCCTTCTGCGTGGTGAGTCTCAAGGCCTTTGGCAGCGAATGCTTGTGCCGTTGGAATTCGCATCGGATGCAGATCACCAATTGCACAAAACTGATGGCGCAAATGGTGTAGAAAATGGTCGAAAACGCGATGTAAAATGATAGGTTGTGCTCTTGACAACGGCCTCCAGCAAACTCCACCTTGCAGTAACACACGCCCTGTCGACATTCTCCGTTACCGCCACAGCCCCCTGAACAGGACGACGAGTTGCTGGAGAGCATGCCCGGCGAGGTATACGCGGAACCTGCTAGAGGAAAAGATCATGAGTCTCGATGCTGGTGTCTAGGGAGAGTCTCGACCTACGGATCATTCTTCTTCTTTCTCGATACGAGGACGGCGCGGCGGCTCCGATATTGCCAAAAGGAACGTGATTCGATATCTCATGGAAATTCGAAGAGAGAAGAGCTGCTCAATCAGTGCCGCAGACCCAAGAAGGGAGCTGTGCAAGAGCTCTTCGAACTTGTATAAGCTGAGAAGATAAGACTGGAGAAGCCGTTCGCCGGAGACTCCTACATTAAGATTCCGATAGTTTTTTTTGGAAGCCGATTTCGTGATTCCTTTTCTTTAGCGCCACACCGACGAGAAACATTAACATTGACCCCGAACCCCGAGTCAATCACGAGAACGAACCGCTCGACAGCTCGAGAGAACGGAGTGCACTCTGGCGGATAAAAATAGCAAGGTCTCCGACGAATATCGACGTCCTTCAACGCAAGATCCTAAATTTGGAGCTTTGTCGCTCGAAATTTTTCTGGACTCCACCCATCGAAGAGCGTAATATCACTGACCGTATGCGAGCAGATGTCTCCCGAGAACGTTGAGCAGAGCTTGCTGGGGAGTCGTTTGCTGTTTTTGAGGGAAATCGTATCCTTCATTGAGGCAACATCCCCCTTCCGAGCCAGCGGAAGAACCAGACGCCGGAACGTCTGTAGAATTCTGTCCGATCGTCCTGAAGTCACTCGAGATGCCAGAAAATCCCCAGCGGGCGATTCCGATTTGCTGCATTTTCAGAGCTTCGATCCGTCGGGAGAAGATCGACGCGACACACCGTCTCGATTTCCACGTTCGCCTGCGAAGAAATGCTTTGTATATGTATCGTGTTGTCTGGTGGATTCGCAAGACCTGTGAGGCACTGCGTGTCGAGCTAGGTTTCCCAGACAGGCAATTTTTTTTCCGAGACCTCTTTTCGGATACTCTTTCAAGGACTCAGAGCAGATCAGAGCTGTCATGATCCTCGACTTTTGCGAAATCTCTGCGCCATCCACCGAGATAATCGGGAATTCCCATTCCCGATCGCCCCCAGAATACTGATTAAAACAATCGGCGGGAAAACAGCACAGGTCGGAGAATCTCGGCTTAGGTAGAGTGCACAATCTGACTTATTCCTTTCCAAATCGCTGATGATATAGACCTTTGCCGTCGTCTGACTCGACGTCGGAGCTCGGGTCGCGGACACCGGATTGCTAATCTGCTCCGCCACCATTCTCCACGAGTACGGTTATTGCCTGCGGCGACCCGAAGATACCCCGTGCCGCTCTAATCAGCGATTGGTCGCGCTGAACCTCGCCTGCCAATGCTGAGCAGAGACAGGATCCCGAAATTAAATGTCATCAACGTCGGCAAGCTAGACTCCGAGATAGGATCTACTACAACCCGAGCTGGATCGTCAATGATGGAGCGAGGCCCGATTTCTTCCGCGCGCTGTCGCATGCTTATTCCCTACTATCCATCCAGACTTGACATTTCGCCTTCGATCGGAATCGCAGGGGAGCGATTCCATCAGACTACGTGACACCTCCTGATTACTGTTAGAAAAAAGAATAAATAGGGAGTGTGCCAGCAACCACCCCGACCGTCGATCTGGTGGATCTTCGCGGACGCTGCAATATTGGATCGCAATACATATTTAACGATATCACCACTCCGCGGCTCGTGACCGATCGAGAGTGAAAGTGCTCTGTGTCAGAAGGAGCGTTCCGCGGTCACTGTTGCTGTGGTCTCCGAGAACGCTCGGTACCCGAGAATAGAGATGGGTCTGATTGGCTACGACGTGCATTGAAACAAATCCATCAGCAGAGCTACATAGCTGAAAGACGAAGGCCTAGTCCGAGCTTGACCTGCCTCTTCTGTAAGCATACGGCAACTGATATCACCCCGATATCCGGGGATGTCATACCTATTCGACCAAGGCACCGCACCGCAGTAAGGCTTGCAAGACTCAGCAGGGGGGTCAACGTATTGCTAAAATTGATGATCGAGTCATGATACTCAGCGCCTCTGAGGACCATGAATTCCAAGCCCCGATCAGATTCTGCATGGGGTCCATTCTCGATCGGGGCATTCCAGAGGATATGCAAGCTCGAGCAAATCGGAAAACTATGAAATTTTCCCTTTGAGAAACTTGCAGAGAAGATCAAATTTGAGCATGTCGTTCGCCGATTTCCGCCTGCTTCAGGGAAAACGATCTCATGGATCAGTCTATAGCCGCTCGAGAAGTTCGGGAGGATACGATAGCGGGCACCAGTGCAACGATCAGTAGAATGCTCACCGTCGCTTTCGAGAGTAGCTCTTCCTCGGCCCCCGATTATCTCTATCACTGGGACGACTACCTTGTTAGAGGAGAATGATCACACGGCGGATTCCCCGTATTATGCACCTCTAACGGATCGGACAAAACATGATACCAGAACGCCTTCGAGTTACGTGGACCACAGCGTCTCCAACCAGCTCTCACGGAGTATGCGACGGTTATTCGCTGCGAGCGAGTACGACGACCAGAAGTCTGCTCGAAAAAGGCTGAGCGTTTCAATGGAGACAAGTTTCTACCTTCCATTGGCCTTGTAGAAGGGCTAAAGTCGCTGCAATCGAGCGACTTCTCTGTACACTGGAAGCCTCTAATTCTGAAATCTAGATCGGGATTGATAGGATTCGCCAGTCGCCGCTATTCGGTAGCCAGAGAGCTCAGCTGATTCTTGATCGCAGAACAACAGATGTGGCGGGAGCTATTCCACTCGAAAACAAGCCGTTAAATCACAGATTTTCCAAGGTTCACCGTCCATACTGGTGATAAGTCTTGCTACTGAGCTCCAACCGTCTAAGAAAGCTTGATTCATTGAGTTTCACGAATAGTGGGGTGGGGGAGAACATATTTTTTTGCAGAACGCATCGAATAATTACTGTCTGGCAGCAGAGCCACTCAGAACTGCCGGTCCGTCTGTCTGAAAACGCAACAGCAGTTCGCCGACCGAATAACAGAAAACCTCCGGAACATTGAGCTGTCCCGTCCCCTGAAGCACTTCAGAGATGAATAACCCGACGTCTCACCCATCCGCCGTAGTTTGCTCTGGGTTGGTCTGACCAGTCAGCTCGGTCTGGTTCAGTCCACTTCGCCATTTTTCAAACAACAGCGATGTTCTGCACCGACACAAGGCTCCTGGCAAGGGTACCTACACAGAGAATTTCAGTTCCTTGCGAATTCGACGGCATTCTCTCTCAGAATTCGAATTACCCTGCCACTCTGCGGAACGAGAGTCCTCGGAAGTTTCTCCCGAGAATTGACATTCAATTCGGGGGACGGAAGAGCATGAAGATCACCGAGTCTCGCGTGGCAAGGGATCGCATGTCGAGTAGAATTGACCCCGAACACCATTCCGTTTCGATACTCGCAGTTCATTCGCTCAGCATTTTGATGCGAGAATATCGAGCTCGGGACCGAGCGCGATCTCAACCTTGGCCGGAACCTCAGCTGCCCTTCCGGATCCGCTCCACGGCCTGCAGCCCTTCCTGAGGTCAAAACGTGGAGTGAACTTCACGCCATTTCGAAAACGCGAGTGAAGGTCACCAACAACAAGAGCCGAGTCGCGATAGGGAGCATCCTCTAACTGCGAGCGAGCGGAGAAAGTATCTCTGCGGCTCGAGACTACCGCTTCTCTCGAAATTCACCTTCTCTCTTCTCGAGATACATCTGACACGGTCGATTGCGTGGCATATCCCCTGTCGAAGGAATGTCAATCATGATTCAGTACACCATCAATTGACACCTCTACTACAACATTACTCAATCTCAGTCCGTCTTCGAGGCAAAACAAACAGCCAATGAAACTTCCGACCGTCAACGCTTGATACGACATTCCTGCCTATGTGCGACAGCCAATCAGCGCAACTCACAGCTCATGAGGAGTCTCTAGTGGAGGCGTCGAGTTGCGTCACATGAAGTCCGGAGATCACGAAGACGACTCGAAGGAACCACAGCTTCGTTTCGATGGAAGACCGCCACAGCCAACTCAGTCAGACAACACTAACCGTAGGAGCAGCAGCAGGGAACACCATCACTGCGGCCGCCGCTTGCCCACAACAGTCGTAACATTCGCGCAGGCGCGACCCCAAGGAGAGAACATCTTGGCGGCAAATTCGAAAGTTCCTCCTCACTGTCAGCTGTTCGGGGGAGTCTTTGACGTCTTCGAGCTCCTTCCTCCACTCCTACATAAATCTGATCGAAGTTCGAGGGTGACGTAGCCCCACCGAGATTCCGATAATCCAGCGAGAGCGGAAATCTTGTTTTAGCGGGTCTATAGAAGATGATACATATTTGCAGCGCGAATATGTGTCAAATGCTATCTGATGAACGGTGGGCTCCCTGATCTGACATCAGGAATAGGCATCTCATATGGATGACATCAGTCCCGAAGAATTGGTAGAGGGGAGATTCGTGTAATCAAAGCAGGGAATCGGGAGCGCGGAAGCATTTGCTCGTTGATCGAGCCGCCAATCGAGCTGTCTGGATAGCATGGCAGGACGCCGGAACGGTGCCAAACAGCCGACAGACAGATCTCACGACTGATTCGAGGGCTCACCACAGACCTAGAGAGGGTTCAATTTCCTCTCGTTTGCAGCTCCTCAATCGTTGACACATCGAAGAGACCATTGAGGATTTGGAGGGTAAGCTGAATGAAATAATCCAGAAGGGTCCCCAAGACAAGGTAGGGGTCCAGCCAGAAATCGAAAAAGCGTTCTCCGGGCTCAAGAAGTGGATTATCGTTGAATTTCTCTCGATGCGAGCTTTCGAGGATGCCCGGCGCTATATCAGGAAGGGGAGGGAGTTTTTTTCTCTATCGAGTCCACGGTACGCTCTCATCGATGAAAGATATCTTGACCAATACCGGGGCATTTCGGATTCATTAGAAGGAGCGCGAGCGCCCTCTGAGTCGGGTATCCTCGGGGCATGACTGACTGCAACGGCTCTCTTCGAAGGTCCAGTACTCGATTGGAAGCGGTTCCTCGGCGGAAGAAATGCCCTTTTGGCAGAAACTTGGCGGAGTGTCGTGTGTATCAGTTTCCTTCAGTCGGATGCCTGATTGACCGATTGATTGATTTTAGCCGACCCGGTCTCGGGGAAACTTCCGCCGGAGCTCCAATGAGAACGGATCATTCGTTTTAAATATTAATCCACGGGACTCCATGATGGCTCGAGCTACTTGCTCCTAGCTATGATCTGCAATTCTTCAGAGCTTCGATATGCGAGTTCGACGGAGAGTCGACGAAGAAGGGCGATCGCCGCTGCAAGGACCCTCATTTTCTGAAGAAACTCGGGGCGAGACCCGGGGCGTGCTGTCGATCTACGAATTGATGATTCATCCTGGGGGCAGTAGGGGGTAAACGCGAACGATAGCGACGGTGCTGTCACGATTCTCCTCTATGTGTATTCCCCGTCTGATGAATGGCGATGAACTGGCGATGAGACCTGTCCAACTTGAGCAATCATTAGCCACGATCTTCGGGAAGCTCCTCAGCATGTTGCAGTATCGGAGAAATGTATCTTCAAAGATCGGTCGTCTGATCGACTGAGTGGGGTCTCTAGAGCAGGAGACAGACTCACCTAGCCTCGTTATATCGCAGGCACGAACACGGCGTGTCGCGATCACTTCTTCGTGATTCCGAAAATACCGAATTGTAGGCAATCACTTGCGCCGACTCGAAGCTGCGAAATAATAAGCGAATCGTTCATCTTCCGTATCAACATCAAGGTTCTGAGAGAATGGAACCTCACTACGTATCACCGATACCACCCGGACTATTGATGTTACACAAGAGGCTTTAGTCGTGGAGAATCTCAAAGATTATGGACATCTATGCATCTACGCTACATAGATAGGGATCGTAGCTCTCATAATCGATTTCATCTATGAATTGATGGACGCGCAGAGAAACCGATATCGTTGGAGACTCTGCGATCCCCGTGCTCCTGATGCTCGTAGATGCCAAGCTCTGCTCGTCAGGATGTCACAATTTAGGTATTTCAGGTTATTCAAAGAGTTTCGCAGTGTTTCTTAAACGCGATTACGCCCTCAAAGCGTTCGAGCTCCGGTCATTAGCCGTTTCGGACAGCTGATGCCCGGTCTTCAGCGACAGACTGCACCGGATTGACTTGATTAGGAAAAAGATCGGGGGTGCAAGTATGGAAGGACGCCTGACTCAGTATGGTCGCCAATGAATCGACTGAGCAAACATGTTTTCTCACGAGTGGGCTCCCTACCATCGAGTCGGGAAGTGGATACAGTTTGGTTCCCTAGGGATGTCCGGGAGTACATGTATGTATAATCGACCGGAGAGGAGAAAAATATTCTCTGGGATCCTCGGGAGTCCGGCGCACGGTGATGCCGTCAGAGCGGTCGTCCAGCGGGAAGGTTGTTCTCGTTCGCTCTGTTGGTTTCTCCGCCGCTTACAAGATCGACACCAGGTTCCTGTAGTGTGCAACATTCATTACACGCCGTGCCTAGCATGTTCCCTTACCTAATGGGGATATCATCAATGATTAGGCGACTATTGACCAGCGGGTCTCGAGCGAATGGTGGCCATAGTAGGTTCGGAAGCCAAAGATGGCATGCCGCGACTGCCCCATCGTGCTTCCAAAAATATTGGATTGCAACGAATCACTCGACGACGGAATTCTCCGCTTGGCAGGACTGTCAGTGAGTATCGACTCTCGCTCCTCCCTCTCATGTATCTTCACATTAGAGAACTTCGAGCTCATCCGATCCGAAAATAGTTGCAGCCCTATATCCGAATGGAAGACCTAGGGAACGGCTCAATGCGGCTCGATGGACCCATGGTGATCTTCATTGAAGCTATCGCTCGCTTCATGAAAGCTAAGTGAGGAACCTAGTCCCGAGATGTGTCTGCTCGACGCTCGCTAATGTAGGTAATAACCCAGTCTAAACTCTCTCCCATAGACCCGTGATCGTGAATGGAGTTGGCTCAGTCTACGGAGGCAAAGGAGAAGACGGGATGTACGATGGTGTTTTGGGATTGCTGCAGAGAGGGGTACCTTATCATGCTCCTTCCTTCGTATTCTTATTCCTCAATTACATCCGCTCCCGAGACCACCCTGTAGCTGCTTCCTGATGGTCTTATTCCAGAGAGCCGAGATGTTATGCGCTCCTTCGATACCGACCCCGGATCGAGTGATTGACTTCGACTACAACGCGCATTTCACATCACAAGGCATTCGACTCCTGACCCGGAAGCCTGATTCATACGTCGATCCATGGGGTTTTGTGAAGGTCTTCAAACCTGCGGTTTGGTGCTACCTCGCTCTGACGCTGGTGCTTCTCTCAGCATGTACCGCCATCCTCCATTGGATGGATTCGCTGGTTTCTTTCCATGAGGCCGACAAGAAGAGACGAGGCTTCGCAGGCTACATCTGGTTCTGGTACGCGCGTTTCTTCCCAATGCGTGAGTGCACCTCCTGTTGGAGAATCGAGTTTTCTTCAAATAACCTCGAAACCGACTTGGTTTTCTTCCCTTTCGGTCGTCAAGAATAAGCGCCAATGGTGGTCCTTTCCTTTACCGCCCAGCCGAAGTTTCACCTCCACGCCAATGGCTCCGCTGGTGTGCGGTATCTTTCATGCTCCCCACGAGCCTCTTTTTGGTCAGTTCGCTGGAAGCGGATCTCAAAAGCAGCTTGGTATTCAAGACGGAGCAGGACTACGTCAACAGCTATGAGGACTTGTTGCGCTTCAAAAACGTCAAAATATTTGCCGAGAAGGGCAATCTGCTATACGCGATGTTCACTCGTAGCGATCATCCTGTCCTGAAGAAATTGGCTCCAAGACTCGAAGCGCGCGACGGCTTCCTCTCACTGAGTCCAGGCTTCGAGAAGATCCTCGACGAAATCATCGATGGTGAAGGCGTTCTTGTCGCGTCCGATGAAATGGCTATGGGTGCCATTGTGAAATTGATGCGTCAGACAGGGACGTGCCCGAGAATTCAAATCAGCCACGGTGCCGCTATGCACCTGTCGGGCTATCTGGCGCTTGCGAAACACATGTCTTGGGAGATTCGAGAGAAGATACAGCACGTGTGAGTAAATGAAATTTGATATGAATCAAGGATGTCTCGATTGCCGTGAATACTGGGTTCCGAGCTAACGAGATTTGACATGAATGACCCATTTTTCTATCGTAGACGCTTGTGGATAGGCGAATCGTATATCTTCCATCAGAACATCAAGTGGAGATTGGAACCTTATTACCGATGCAGCTCCAAGACACTTGATGTCACCCTTGAGCCATTGGCCGCGGAGAACCTCGAAGGTGTGGGATATTTTTACGCAATCGGGATCGCTGTCTCTACCCTCGGTTTCGTCTACGAGACGATTGAGGCTCGGAGGAATCGATACAGTCGGAGGATTATTTTCCGCGCCTAGGATGTTCAATCGATACCAGCTAATGCTCCTCCTGGACATGGCAATCTCATCGTCTGATTGTTCGTTTTCTATAGATGTATCACTTCTCCACTGCTCCGCGTAGGATGGTCCTCTACTCTAGTCGATGTGATAGAGACGGTCTCTGGGCTAATCAATATATGTACTCTGAATTCATGAGTTCTCCCCACGTCGAAGAATCTGAAAACTACCCATCGCTCTATCCCTCCGCGAAGCAATCATCGGGACCAAGAGGCAGAGCGAATTTTCGGATCGCGTCCCCTAGAAAAGACTCTGGGCTCCCTCCGGATGCTTCCGTCGGTCATCAAGAGAGATCCCACCGGTATTCCTCAGAGATATGGTCAGTCAAGTTTCATAGGCAGTTGGGACCGGGAAGGCTCATCAGGAGTCTTAGATAGGCGGAAGTTCATCAGTGGAGCTCTCCCTTCCCACCGCGAACGTGTGCGATATGATCTGTCTGATGGAGTCATGTGGCTTTGGAAATATTCTGCTCAGCGCCTCTAAAGCTCGAGATGTCACAGAAATGCCGCGAGACCGGGCGGAGAAACCTCAATAATATCGGCGGGAATCTGCTTCATTGGCGATCTGTGTTGCATGTAACGAAGTATCAGAGTAGAATTCATCTGGAATTCCGATTCGTTCTCTCCGACGTCGCTGTTCGTTGCCATCATTCAAAATCGGTGAGCCACGATGAGCGCTGGTGGAATGAAGTGCATTGAGTTTCTAGCTCTGTCGCTTGCTCTCTTGAACGATGACATCTGCGCGTTCACAAGCTTCTTCCCTTCGGTCCTGGTACCGAAATGTCCCGATGGCGTATATCTTTGCACTTTGGACGCTGCCTTATCGAAGACCTCCAATAAGACGACTTTCAGCGAGAAAGTGGATGTTGCTTTCAACCTGGACCTTATAAGGTGGGTGTTCCAGCAATCCGCTCCCTGGATATGAGGACGGAATATTTTCGTCGGAGATGGCTCCCCATCAAGCCGCTTGTTGAATCGACAGATCTGTCACGCGGCTCAAAAGACGTCTCTTGAACAAGGCTTTGGCAGCCACAGGTCTGGTACGGAGGCCGCTATTCGACTCCGAGATGTCCCATGAAGCAAGCGAATCCCTGAAAAATTCGGACTCGAGTCGTTACACCCTCGACTCAGGACAGAGCAGTGAGTACGGACAAGTGAATTTATCGTACTGGTATCGGAGGGGTGCAGCATCCAGCTTTTGACAGAATTCAACGTCTGTCGATAGCGGAGAGTTTTTGTGACGAACGCGTCGAAGTACTCATCCCCGAAGTGGGGCAGAATATCCGCGGACAGTGGGTGCTCCTCGGAGGCGACGTGGAGGTGACATCAACTCAATGCGGGTGAGTCTTCGGGACTCTGAGGGTCTCGCCAAGTGGTTCCCCAGACATGATGGGCATTCCCAACAGCCACAGAACTACTGGTCATCCTGGGGGTAGCTCTCATGCGTTTTCATTCTGCAGCAAGTATGCTTCCGGGCCGTGTCAAACTGTGGTCAACAGCCGCTGCAGTCAACGCTTCGGAGAAATATCGCTCCCGGTCATCAACGGAAATCAGTATCAGGTCGAAAGGATCAGAGTTCCCTGTGGATGCACGTGTGAAATTATGCCCGAGAGTTCGGTTCAATAAATCGCTTTCGCGAAATTAGTCCTGGCTTGAACATCCTGGGCTCTCCCAACCGAGGGAATCATGAGGCAAAATTGACTCCCATAGATCGAGAAACGCGATGGGCATGATTGGGAAAAGCTCATTGCGATCTGGTAACCTAATCATCGGATAAGCGGATCACAACGATCGCCGACTCGGTTTTGTTTATCTTGGTCGACACCGTGCATTAGTCTCCGGTACTCGGTGTCCGTCCCCTGATCTCCCCATCGACTGTGAAGGGAAGCGTGCTGTTCACGCGCGACTTTTCGCCGCCGAGAGGCTTACATACATGCTTTTCCTTCTCCGTCATGTCGTTTCATGGTCGCGTCGGAAGCGCGAACGTGAATCATCGATGGACTGAAGGCTTTTCCAGAGCGCTCCCCTCCCTCTCCGGATCTGCCGTTGCGTGTTGCATTCAATTTAGACGAAAGTCGAGCGGGCAATCTGTCTCCATGCAGAAAGGTCTGCATGAGTTTCTCTGAATTTCAACTCCGAGCGATGTTGGCGTGCTCTCTTTATGCGACTCAGAGGACACCGCTTATGAATGGTGACAATCGCGAGAAATCAAATCGAGGGTGAAAAAGAGCGGAATTCCCTGAGTGCTGAAATTATTACTATTTAAGGATTCACGCCGACGTCAAACGCAAAATGTTCCCGGTTGTTGGCACCGGTAGCGGCCGTGAGCGCTACTGAAGTGAGACCGCTCGCGTACCGTGTTTGCTCTTCGAGCATCAATGAAGAGACGGAACAACAATCGCAACAAACCAGCTAATTCGTGCCTTCTAGAGGGCGTTTCGCGCCCTATTCAAATAAACGGTGAGTTCGATTGTTTGCCTGAGTTTCTCGTAATCCCGTCCGCGTGTCGAGGAACTCTTCTCTTCGACCAGTTTACACCCAGGTCGATGCCAAACACGACCTTGAGAGCAAGAGCAGCGCCGCAAAGCAACGCTAAGCGACGTCTCCAGAACTTCAAGCCATCGCTGTCTCCCCGTACTCGACGGTCTTACGAAAACTGCGGCCAATGGAGTTTCCTCATCATGTGACAGTTCTGATGCTGGTGTCTCTGTGCGTCGGCGGCAGCCTCAGCCTGAACGTAAAGCTGCCGAACTTCAGTTTCGAAAACGGAAGCAGTCTGCCACCTCAGGTCAAGTTCGGACCTCCGCCAACGTGTCCCGGGAATGCGACCGTGTGCTCTTTTGATGACATCCGAGGTTTCAGCAAAGACAACGTAACGAGAACGAGGTATGTTCTGTGCTAGGCTCTCGACTCCGAGAGGATGATTCACCTTGACGACCGAATACGCAGTCAGTCACGCTGAAGTTCCGCTCTCATGAGAAGAACAAACTTTTCGGGCGACGAGCTCGATAGAACACCTTTTGATCAGAATTCCCGGATAGTGCTCTGAACAAATAAATCTAATCTCGATTTTCAACGCCCAGCTACTTTCTGCTGAGGTGAGTTCCGCCCGCAGGCTCTAGATCTTCCATCGAACCCTTTACGTTGATTCAATGGAATGCCGACGAATAGAGATGCGTCTCGCCGTTTGGCAAAGCGTTTCCGGGTTGTCCGCATCCCTGAAGTTGTTGCTGTCGCTTCTAGGAAGACGATCATGAAACTTCTGGATGTGCTCGAAACAGCAGCTCAAACGACCGGCCTGGTTAAAGGAAAATTGTTTTCATCGGAAGGGGCGGAAAACGATACGAAAGCGCGGCTTCTGTCACGCAGAAGAAGGAGCGGTAAGACCCTCATTCAGAAAACTTGCAACATCGCTCTCATGTTCCGCCGCTGCTACAAATTGGAGGATTTAGTCTAGCCTGTTTTTTCTCGGAGCATCCCTGGGAAGTGTTTGTTTCCCACGGAAGTTCCCCGTCGTCGAGTCTGCTCATCGTCTCTCGAAGTGAATCTCGGAAGTTGTGCTCATCGGGCATCTGAGTGATGGACAGTAGTTCACTCGAGGACATTTGGGGAAAATTTCAGAGCCTAATGCGACGCGAATACACGATGATTGGAGCTTCCTGGAAAAAAGAGAATATACTCCGAAATAACTCGTTCGGGGAAGCATCTCAACATGTTCGAATTGGCGCATCTAGGTCAAGGCAGTGCCGGCATTTAGTTCAGCATCTGATTCGAATGTGATTCCGGTGACATCACTTGTGTCTCTGGTCTCATTCGGTGACGGATCAGATTCGCGCCGCCGAACGCAATCGATTCGCCTATGCAGTCTCCGTCGTTGCTCCGTTCTAGGAGATGCGAATGAATAGGCGCTCCCAGTTTGCCCCACCAGCTTTATCTCAGATGACCTTAAAACTTCCCTGTCCTCATGAGGGGCACAAGACTTCGGAGGAGGCCGATAAGAAGCAGCAAGAGCATATCCAGTATGAGATAGACATGTCCAGTATTTCTCCATGAATCGATTCCATGTATATATGCATTCCAGGGGGGTTCGTGAGTCTGTGCAGTGAAATATCCAAGCCGAACGAATATCCTGAAATTGGAAAAAACAAGGACGGGAAATGGAGATATTTGACGGGACGTCAGGTCGTGCATAGCGCCTATTGTGTGTGAGTGATCCGTCCGGAATCATTTTTGTTCCGATCGGGCAATAATCGCCTGTTGAACAGAGACTCAGAATAAACGAGCTACTCGATCCCGGGTCGATTACTGCCAACTCAGTAGCATGCGGAGGATCGCTTTCCCCGAGGTCCTCTGGCTCGCGGGAGCGGGAGACAACGCCTATTCCGCGGACGTCTTCGATTGAAAGAAGCTCTGTTTCGAACCGGAAGTGCTGCAGCCTTGTCTACTTTCTATGTTTTGCGCTTCCAGGAACGAGGGAGGTGCTTGTTCCGGTGACATCAAACTGAATTCTCCTCGGGAGATCAGTCTCTGTGCTCAGAAATACGGCTTCTCGCCAATGATCGTATTCGACGAGGAGTCTCAGAAGTTTGATAACGATCAGATCGTAGTACCATGCGGCTGTCAGTGTCAATTTGGAAACGGTTGATTCCTGTCTAATGGGAATAAAATCTCTAGTCAATTTACCAAGACAGGGATATTCCACTCGACATGGATGAGAAGTAGTCGCAGACTCCTTCGCTGTCGAAAGTTTTTTCCCTTCAATCATTATGTAAACGAATCGCGTTCACCGTCCACAGTCCCGTCAGAAGTACAGCGTGCCTCCATCGGACATATGAGGCTTCGTAGGAGGGTTCTCCCTCTTTCCGAAAAGTATCACAATCACGAAGATATTCCGGCACCATCTCAGCAGCGAGGAGCCTCCGGAGAAAAGTGCCTATGGCGATCTTCGGAGCCGAGAGATACCACAAACTCAGTCTCGCCCGGGATGATGTACCGAAGGGATATTTAGTTACAGTGGCCCGCTTTCCAGGAATCAAGCGGGCATAATTCTCATCTAGGCCCCCATGGCAAGGGCGCTCACTCGCCGAGCATCGGACTCATTGTTTTGATATTCATCTGTGAAGCTTCAATTCTACACATGAGCCTCGTTTTCGGCTTCAGTGGAATGAGCTCTGCTGTCCTCGTGGGTACACAAGTGGGTCACAGTCTGACGGGGATCCTCCTCGATGGACAGCTCTTCAGTCGCAGGCTCCGCGGAGACGAACTTGAGCAAAGAAAAAACTCTGGCCTACATCCTAGCGGATGGTCCCCGGCCAGGAACACCTTTTGTTGGCATTCCTCACTCCGAACCGAGCGAGAAGACACCTTATCTAAACGAGTGGGTTTCCTTCCCCGAGTTGACATCTGCAGTCTCGAAGTCAAGGCCGTAACTCTCACTCCCAAGGTCGACTCTTTCCACACGTGTTCCCAACACACATCCCTCGCCTATTCCCATGACCCTTTCCCCATTTAGGGAATCAGTTAAATAGGCGCGCCTCTCCCAGACGACTGACAGAAGTAGCGACGAAATTCACGGTGAAATTCAGTCATTCCGTCAAAGGAATCTCGAGCGGAAACGTTCGCTAAGCGGGATAGCCTCCTGGACTGTCGATAACCGAGTAGGAGCGTCCGAGCGAAACTAGCGCGCAACCTTCTCGCCTACCACTCGCAGTAGCCCGCTCGAGTAGATTTGGTTTTCTTCGAAAGTCTGTGGATATCAAACGGCACGCTGGATCCCCGGGTGGTTAGGAAAGGAAGTTTACCTTCCATATTCAAGTGAGTTTCTGGGTAGACTAGTTAAGTTCTCGAGAGTGTTTCGTCAAAGATCAGCTGTAACCCGCCCCATCCCCCCCAACCAGCCTCGAAAAGGTTCGGATGTCCCAGAGGGCGACTTTGCAGCTTCGAACAGCTGATTGAATCGGCAGCCATGGCTTTCGGTAGCAGGCAGGACTGCAATTCCTTTCGAGAATGTTGTAGAAACCTCGGGGTCAAGATTGGGACTTCGAGATCAAAATATCTGAGACAGAGAGCTGGTAGATGGTCGAAAATCCTCTATCGAGTTCGACGCTTCCCCTGTCCATTATAAGCAGTTGTCTACTTGAGAAACCTGTCAGGGGATAAGCCGCACGTGGTACATTGACCTATTGACAGGAATTGAGCTGCTTCTCCGCAATGGCAGGGTCAAAAGGCTTTCTCCGCCGGTAATCGCAGCTCTAAAATATGTATGTCATAAGTACAGTATACATATGCCGTACTGAATGATTTATTTGGACTCTCGGATCCTAGAGCCGTCGGGCTGAATAGTCGATGAACTGAGAGCTGGGCCACCGCTTAATAGCGTGAGATCGTACCGCAGCGTTTCTTTTCGATCGAGCGATCCGCAGATGGGACCTCTAGATAGAGCCATTTCGAAACTCGCTTCTTATACTGTTCGCGCTTCGGGCATCCTCATGCCAGTTTTTATTCTGATTCGTGACCTCATGTTTCCGCAGAATGTTCACAAAGAGTGTTGCTCCTCAAGCCTGGAAAATCCGTTCTCCATGAGTCGGGTAAAGATGAGCGTGGAAAACGCGGATTCCGAAGCATGCTCTCGCTCGTCTCGATTTACGAGACTCCTGACGAAGCAAGTTGTCCCTGCAGAAATGCAAACGACATTCATGGAGATGTGTGTGATAGTATCCGTGCGAGGCACACGGCGAGCCAGAGTGGCTCTAGGGACCATATGACATCCCCGACAGGTGCCACTACAAAGTATCCCTCGCGGAACATTTCCGTGAAATCAGCGAGTGTCATAAGCTCCTGGGAATCATTTTTTCGTGAACTAGCAAGAAACATGCTCGTTGCGGCGTCCCCTCCCCGGATACTTTGAGAATGAGAGATCGGAAAGACTTCTGCAAGACCTTCGAGGAGAATCGAATCAGATTCTCGGAGGGGGCATGTGAAGGAGTGCTAATGTGAAGTTTGGCGGTCGTGTGTCCACTGGGCTCGATGCCAAGTTCTTGCACTGGTCGATGCACGGGAAGTTAAGCTGCAACATGTGCGGGGGAACTTACTCGTGATCAAGCGATCTCCAAAGGCAACATGTCCGAATCAGTTCAGTGCTCTCTGTCTGCGGAGCATATCGGAGACTCCTCTGAGATGCGATTTCCGGGATGTTCGACCGTGTCCCTTCGGGTCAGAGCATTGAAGGAAACCAGCGCATTCAGAACCGCGGAGTCTCCTCATATCACTCCGATTAGTATGGTTTCGAATGCTCCAAGTTTTACGACTTCAGCTTCTGTCTCAAACGAGCATATTCAGACTCGGTGCAATGGGATATCTTATTGAGGCCAGCGATAGACTCGGTGACGTAAGAGCGGTTTCGCGGAGAGAAAAGTTCGACTGATCGGATGGCCAGATCCAGACGCAGTACTTTATATGCGAACCACCCCAGCTGCGAGGCGGTGCGATCGGTCCGCGGGACCCTTCGAGATTCTTCTCGCGGACGAGATCTCGATGGGGAAACAGAAGAACGAATGGTCGAGTCACAATTGCACACACAGCTCGAATTCGCTCTCTTCATGGACGAGTAATTCCGGTTTCGTAAAACTTAATTAATCGTTCACCCGATCGAGAGAAGAACTCTGCCGAGCCCCGCGAACAGCGGAGCCGGCAAGCGAGAGCGCAGACGTGGTTTTGTAAACTGTAAACCCTAGCTACGTCATTCTCGATCCGGGATCGGGGGGGATACATGGTGGATGGCTTTGATTCATAGATGGCATTCCATGGAATTGGATAATCGTTCGTCGCTAGAGTTTCGTTACCGTTTCTCCTTACAGGAAGATGCCTATACGGACGGATTCCCTGCTGTCAACGATAGCCGAAGCCTCTGCAGCCGGCGTTTCTGTGAAGAATCATTACAAGCTAGTGGTGATGGGTGCTTCGCGAGTTGGAAAGTCAGCCGTGATACAGAGATTTCTCTACAACAACTTTCCGGTCAAATATACGCCGACAGTTGAAGAATTCCATTCCGGAGAGTTCGATTTCAATGGTGAGCGCTCCCCTCCTTGCATTCTCCTGTCTTCCATTGGGATGGCACTGCATCGAAAGTTTTCCCCAACAACTCGCATCATCGAACCTGAACCATCAACATGCTCGTCTGAAGCCCGAGCTCTGATGACGTAAAATTAAATGAAGTCCGCTCCGAAGATAGCACTGAAATTTTCATCACCGCAGGTATTTCGATTACATTAGACATCATCGACACATCGGGATCCTACGAATTTCCTGCGATGCGTAGGCTCTCTATCGAAACAGGTGAGAATCGCTTCGGAATGCTTTTTGGTTGGCGCAAGCAATAGGTGTCCCGAACTTAAGCTAAGTAGTCTCATGGAGATTCGTGACTTTGGAAGTTTTCGTGGTCGAGCATCTATGAGAGATTCGCGGCGGAGATACAACGTTCCGGACTTCTGTATCAGAGTCTCATATCGGAATTCCCGATGAATATCAGGTTTCGGGATCCTTGGTGGAGAATCTCGGATTTCGAAATTTTTTGTGTGAACCTCTGATTCCGGAACTTCCATGGGAACCCCCTAAGAACTGCACGAGGAGATGCCGAAATTCGTTTTCATAAAGCATTCACGAGCTTTAACAGCCCCGCTCACACCAAGAGAGAATCTGACAATCAGATGAAGGGAGATAAAGAGACGTTGAGTTGGACCGTTAGTTCATCCGCCCGTTCGCTTATTCGCTTACCCACCCGCATTCAGAGCGTCGTTCCTGTCGTGATACTGCGGGCTGGTAAAAGTTATTCCAGCTGCTACAGCAATATATTATTTATCACGTTCCGAATAAGGCTGCACGGATCTCCGGCCACGAACGTCTTTTAGACGCTCCGTTCTCCTTACGGTCTACGGCCTGAAAAGAGCACAAAAGCGCAATCGAGAGAGTATACGGGCAAATCAAGCGCTCCATTTGCGGGGCGGAATAAATGAGTTTGTTTGTTCTTCCAGGGGACGCGTTTTTGTTAGTGTTCGCGGTCGACGATGCAGCTTCTTTCGAGCAGGTTGTCCAATTGCGAGATGAGATACTCTCGTACAACAACAAGGAACGGCGATCGATAATTGTAGTTGCCAACAAGGCCGATCTCAGCAGCGATTCGTGGCGAATCAAGCGAGAGTTAGCGGAAACTCTTGTTTCCATCGATTGGGAACTCGCTTACGTCGAGTGTTCGGCGAAGGACGGACGCAACATAATCGAGATCTTCCGTCGTATCATGCTCCAATGCAAGATACCCTACGAGCTGAACGAGCGCATTGTCAACAAGCAACGCCGTCGATCCCTACCTGTGCACAACACTCAACCGTCACTGAAAGACAAAGCGCTCCTCAAGAGAAACTCGTGCAACGTGTCATGAAGAATACAGGGAGAAGCTTGTTCATGATGAACGAGTACGCTGCGCTCCTCTCGGTCCGGACTCAGACGCTCCTGGGAGCAGCACGGAGTCCCGGAACTCAATGGGTCCTAATCCTGGCTCCGACAGACCCGTCTTCTTCCCTCTCCCGTCGATACGTATGGAGTCAAACAACTGGCACATCAGCGTAGCTTTATGCACATACACCGAAGGTATGAGAATCTTTATAGACACACGCGAAACCATCAACGAGTGGAGGAGAACCTCGAGTCTACACAATATACATATGATGCGGGAGAAGAGCCTCTCATCTTCCAAGGAGAGATGCTCGACAACTATGAATTCACGGAACAAATATCGCCTTGCCGGATGAATGATCGTTGACTGAGCGTCTGGATACTACAACGAATGTTCAGTAGTCTAGAGCCCTGTAGACTCCAAACTCTGATGTGCGACTGCTGGAATGTTGATAAACGCTGCGACTGTTTGTTTGATTGATTGATCGGTTGATTGGCTGATTGATTGGTGGATAATTCAGATGGGACATGGGATTGGACGAACATATTCGGATTCGACCACCGAAGAATTCGCTGTCCGAGTGATGTGTTGATTGATTGAGCGCGCGATTGATGAATGATTGATTGGTTGTTCAAGTGGTGGGGAACTGTATTTTTCAGTATCACATCACTCCTGTTGTTGATCGAAAAGAGGAGATATTTATGAATTGTTCGCCCGTCTTGTAAAAAGAGTTTTAATAAAAATTATGACTTTTTGGCTTAAAATGTAAGTCTGGCTCACTCCAACACGCGGATACGCAACGGGGAGGTCCTCCGGTATTCCTTATCGCACCCATCTTCCGGAGGCAATTGGGCTGTACAGGAGGACGGAGAACCCGAGTCACATTGATCAGGCAGCGAACATCGAGGCACTTATCCAACTCTGAGATCGAGAAACTTCGAACCTTTAATTTGGCTGAAATGTTGCGCAATCGGAAGCAGCAGATGCAGCCTAGGAACAGTCTGAGATCGGGTGAGTTTGAGCCACTGTAAGGGCTCCTCTGGGACCTCTAAGGAGAATTCGGCTAGGGTGTTATTTTCGTTTCCACAGTCCCGAGTTGCGTCTTGGAGACGGCAGAGAATCTCCTGTGGAAATGGAAGCGATTGCTGTGTTGGAGAAGCCCATCCCGCTTGATTCTGAGTGAGCGATATCTTTCCGCGTACAAGACGAAAATCGTTCCCACCGTGAAATCTTCCCGCTGTTGACTCGACTTGATGAATCTCTCCCGCGAGAAAGCGCCCGCTGAAAATCGTCTTTTGACGGAACCGAGAGAGATGGGTAGGGCGTGGGGCTCCAACCAGAATTCCGCTACTCTCAGCTGAAAGAATCCCAGCAGCTGGAGAACTCTTCTAATGTCTTCATGGACCGATTTATCGGGAGGTTTTATCTGGCTCCTCTCCAAGAAATCTCATGTGGGTGAACGATCGCAAGCAGCGCTGCCCCCGCATCAGAACACACTACAAATCAATCATCGTAATAACGGTATCGTCAGACAGTCGCGACTTTAATGGAAGCTCATTCAGCGGTTCCTACTTCTCATGCCTTCGCGATGGCGCTGGACGGATGCCGTTAGGTTCTCTGGGGATATGACCGCGGGAGCGCTGAGAGCTCGAGAAATTATCAGGTCGGCAATGAGCCGGATATGCCGATCCGACCGACGCGACGTATCTGCTGGGCAGACGCAAAGCTCAGAGAAGACGTAGGAAGATTCGGGATGGTCTAACTCGGGTCGTCATACCGGAGCTGCTCCCAACTTGAAGCATTTTAGATATCCTCCTTCGGATGGCTGAGGTCGTCCGAGTTAGCGTCCCGTAAATCGCTAAACGCTATCCTGTCCTCTGTCCAGCCCCGGGGATAGAAACCCATCGCGGAGTTCACATATTGAGCCTTGAACCTGCTCTTGATGCCTCGCTGAGCCCTCTATGCTCTGCAAAGTAAGCCACTCTTGGCCTTGTATCGTCGGGCCAATGAAGAATCCCGCAACGGATGAGGCATTCGTCGAAATGAGGGAGCCGCGCGAGCCTATTGTCCAGCTCACATTCCCGTGTGCTCGATCTAGGATTCCCTACTTTTCTTCCAAGATGAGCTTCACTCGTAAACTTGAACCTCATTAGTGTGGGCTCTTTCCTTCGAAATAAGCTCGTCTCGCCCTCGGCCAACTCGCGCCCTCTAGACCCCCCGACAGCGTGACTCGTGGACGCAGGTAATTCGAGAAGGAATTCACAATCAGTAGCAGATGTACTTGCAGGTAGGTTCTATGACCATCTCTCAAGGCCCCGATGCCCCGCGAAATCCGATGCCAGACGACGAACCACTGCCGTAGCTCAACAACGAGGGTCTCCACGAGCACGAGAGAGAAGTGTTCAGGAAACTTCCGAGGTTTCAAGGATGACTCCCACTGACTTGCGTCTTTGATAACCATCTCCTCTCATGTACGTATCATGACGATACATTTTTTTCTACCGCCATCTGTAGGTGGCGATCTCAACAACTGGTACAACTTTCCGCAAAGGGCAGTCATACTTTCAAGTCTGTCATGATCCCAAGTCTGAGGTTCTTGTCGGTTAACTTATTCCAGCAAACGAATTATACGAATTTATGCCTATACATATATGCGCGATTGCAAGCACCAGATGTTCTGACGAAGACAATCATGAATCCAGTCATATCCAGACAATCATGAACCGGACGGACATACCGAAAAACAAGGGAGAGCAGCCAAGCTGATATTCCAGTGACGCTGACAATGAATATATCGCTCAACGTGTGACGCCCGATTAAGGATCAGATCCCCATTCTCAGGTCAGCAGACCTAAGGAGCCCCATACGTTCCATGGATGATCCCACATAGGATATTATCTGTGTGCTGTGAAAGGGCTTTTCGAGCACCGTTATGTGCTTCGTGGATGACATCATATTATGTCTCGCGAATAATTCACGTAAGAGGAAGTTCGACTGCCGGACGCAGCTCGAACATGAGCAAGAAGATACTCGAATCGCTGCTGTTTTGTTCATCTGTTTTGGTTGGATTCTTTCCCTCGGCACTGTTGACCCGAGCTCGGAGCCTGTAGAGCGTAGCTTGAGATAAAACGCCCTTATCGGTTGACCCGCTAGAGAACGCAGTGCAGCTCAGCGCCGTAAGTATCACTCGAAGATAATCGTGATTTGCTCTCGACGCTTATATGGACTCGATCTCGCTCACTAGAAGCGAGCGAACCCTAATCGGACGAGCCTTATGTCAACCTAAAGGAACACCGATAAGAGCTGAAGGAAGAGCTCCCGGGACAACCGTGAGGGCGCGAAATCGAAATTTGACTTCGGCAATGACGGCTCGTTCTATACGGGATAATGATTCCACGGGACCGTCGTCATGCGAGCTGACCCTTAGCCAAAGCTAGACCTCACAAGGTTTTCCGAGCTCGTAAGGTAAGCTCCGACGTCACCGCGGGACACCGGAAAGTCACTGCTTGCTTGCAAGACCGGCACTCTGCGAGACACGGCATTATTCCCGCGGCGAAAAGTGCATTCTCTACTCGAGAAGCCGAGGATCGCAGCAGCTTGTCGAGCTAAAGTGCAATTTTCGCTCAGGCGAAAAGGAGTACGGTTTCCCCCCGGCTGAGCTTGCACTTCAGAGGGCGGTGAATGAAATGTGAGGGAGGATGAGTATCCATTATTCCATCCGGATCATGTACGCGATCCATGTCTGGAACTCGCGTCGATTTTTGACCCCTGAGCGCAAAAAAATCCAATTCAAAATCTTAGTCCTACTGATAGGACTGGACTAATCGATGGATGCTCAGACTCCAGGAACGGAGCGAATATCAGCCTAACGAAGGCGGCAAAGCCGAAAAAACGAGGATTGATGGGAGCTTCTATGTTCGCGTGTTTGATATGTGATGCTTGTGAGCATCTCAAGGTTGAAGTGAGTGAACGCCCAGCTCGCCCTCGTTTCTGGCTCGTGGTCCGTCTCTTCAAGCTACTAGGCAAGCCTGTAGACAAGAAAGCAAGAAACCACCTGACCGCCATAGAGCGCCCGCCATCGCGCTACTAGTTTGAGCTCAGTGTCGAACACCGACAAGAGCGGGCGCATCTTACGCAATTCGCGAGCGTTTCTTAAAGTGCGGTGAGTTACATTGCGATTTCTTCGTCGTCGGACAGTTTATTGCAGCAGGTGTATTCTGCGGCATTTCGAGGAGCCAAGTGAGGCCGTCTCCTGTGATTTTGTGAGAGACGCATTCATCGTTATTAGCCGAGCTGAGGTGTCCCTTTGGTCTCGAATTTCTTCTTCCGTCTCTCTTACGAATAAGCAATATCTAGCTCGGATTTCACGCGGACTTAGTGATATTCATAAATGAGATTGGATCCCTAGAGTTGTTTTCCACCCGAGACTTCCTGTTCCTCCCAGTTGTACCTTCTCTGATTTCCTCTCTCGAATTTTTCCGTCTCTAGCTCAGCCGCAAAACGGAAGTTCTCCTTTGCCTTCTTCGTTTCGAATTGAGCTGGACAAACTCTCGAGCTGTCCTCCGATCTTGTCCTTCGACTTCGATGTTCTTTGCCACACGAAAGATTTGTGGAACATTTCCATTCGGAGGATTTCGGTTTCGCTATAGGTCAGGCTACTGTGATGAGCCTCTACGAGTCTGAAGGAGGCAGGTTGAGTGACTAACTGACTGACTGGCTGGCTGGCTGGCTGGTTGTATTTTAGGGGAGATCTCCCTCAGATGATTCGACGCGCTTCCAGCCTGAGTCACGCACTCTTCCGCCCGACAACAAGATAATAGTCCATACAAGCAGGCTCCGCGCACCCACGAAGTTGCTATTACCGTTTTCGCGGAAGAGTTCGCCCGAGGGAGCGGACAGCGAGTTGTACGAACGTCGCGACGCAGCCATGTGATTTCCACATTCCTCGTGAGGGGCTATTTTTATCTGCACAACAATGCCGAGGCACACCATTCCGCAATGTAGACTTCGATGCATTGACTCGACTCGGGATGCTAATGGCTCTCGGAGCCAGGTCAATATTTCTCCGAGAGATAGATAGGTAGTCACTCGGTAATCGGCTCGAGGGAGGGGTTGCGGAAGGAAGCCGCTCGATGATTAATTTTCTCCCAAGCGGAGACTGCGTTCGAAGAGTATTATACGGAGTCGTTCTCATGGACGTCAGTTCTCATGCAAATCCTCTGCAAGCTGAGCCGGGCCGCCGTAAAGGTTTCACTCAGGGAATTTCCGAGCGATTCCACGAGGGAAGTTTGTTCGGAAAACTCCACGAGTGGGCGTTATGGGAGTCGGAGTCGAACGGAGTAGACACGGCCGCGATGTGAACAAATCAGTGATCCGATCTAGGAGCTTCGAGTCGACTTGCTTTCGTTCACGAAATCCCACGAATGTAGGTCGTTTCCAATTTAGTCGGCGTTCCGGTCTGGATCACTTGTAGTTAATCGGGTTAAATATAATTTTCTTTCTTCCAGAGGACCCTAATCTGCACAATGGTTCGGAACAACGTTGAAGTACGCCCATTCGTGCCTCGAGTCTACCAAAGGAATGTGGATATCGAAGGCAGTCTCGTGCGACCCTGCATAGCGGACATCGATCGTCGTCAAGGCGTCGTTCACGCTGTCTCCTCCCTGGTAGAGGAGAAAGTGAGTACCGCGACTGAAGTTACTATAGGGACATGAACCTTTTTCCTTTACTAGAGCTTCTTGATACTGCGACCTCACTCCTAGCCTTACAAGATCACGAGCTTGCTTCGCGAGCGGAGCTCTAGTCTCACAACTATGACGACAGAAGACGCTCAGACAGGCTGAGACTTTACTCGGATGAGAGTCTCGTGCCGTTCAGCTTTCAGTGGGTGCGATTATGTCCAGTCGACCGATGCCAAGCAGGCTTAATAACATCAGATCCACTTATCTTACGGTGCCCTTGGCGCGGCGCTCGCGGATCGGAGGCCGAAACGCAGCTAAAGAAAGCTTATACCTGAAAAAAGGATTAATTATGAGGAGCCGATCGACAATAATACATTCATCGAGACTCCTTCAAGTGATCCATCCCGGAGGATCTATGGAAGAAAGCTCTGTCGGAAGATTCACTCTAGATTCACTTCCCGTGCTTTGAAACAGTCAGTCAGCCAGCGAGTGCCCGGGTAGTCTAGTTTCCCAAGCCGGCAGTCGAGTGAAGCCTCGTCTCTGTTGACAATGCTCTCCGAAGTTTGCCCACACTCTTCCGAGCAGGGTCATCGCACGGGGAAAGTTCTCGTTTGTGAAAAACTCGATAGAGTGGCTCGCACGAGCTTTTTGAAGGTTCTCCGATTGCAACGCCACCGAAGAGCCTCGCAACAAGATTACAAGCACGCAGTCCTTTTCGACCAGTGGGGAAATCCCTCGGAAAATCCTCTCATCGATCGAATCGAGTCCGCTCGATCGAAGCATGAGTCGGCATCGGACCATTTGACGAAGCTGTCGTTCCGAATTGCAGGAAACCGCCAGGAGCGATGTGCGAGAGTATGAACGACTTTGCAAACAAATTTCACAGCATCGACTCCGAAGTCAGATGGAAGCCCGCGCCCAGGAACACGACAGGATTATCCGGAGTGCTTTGAACGCATCCGATATGCAAAGGTAAATGTTCTATCTCGCTGTCGGCTGTCACGACACAGATTTTTGATTCGAGGCAGAGAACGAACGAGGCCCAAACGGCTGTTAAGACCGAGGTGTTCTCGAGTATTAATGATTTTTTTCCGTTTCAGGATCCACGTGCTCGACGGACCGTTCTGCCGACTTCTCATGCCGAACGAGTCGATCCGAGGACATTCGAAACACGCGGTCCACTTGAAGATGATGGAGAGCCGCCGACTCCAAGATGTGCATGACGCCTGGGAAGCGACCAAGGACGACGAAAGGAGGGCACGCGTGAGGAAACTATTCCGTCCCTCTGAAGTAACAGCAATCCCTGAAATGCCATATCATCGTGCCTACAGGAACCCGTCGAAATTCGATTTCTAACACAGCACCGCTGCCACCGCGTCTGTAAATAATAAACCTCATTGTTGTTAATTGCTCTTGGAAACTCCCTCTTCGATAGGCGCTCTTAGCTAGCTGCTCGTCGCCGGCACTCTCGAATTACAGTCGCCGAATTCCGATCACTGACATGACCCTCCCTCCGAGGAATTCCACCCGTGTGCCTCGAACCATTGTCAAGCGCAGCCTTGAGACGTCTGTACATTTATTTTCCGCTGCCGATGGCCGGGATCATCTGGAAATCCTCAACTGTTGTGAGGATTCCGCCACCTACTGTCGAAGAACGGGAAACACTCGCGGCGGAATATCAGGATCATCGGCTCCTTAGACGAACGCTCGTCCGATGATGGAACTTTCGGAGAGTCCATGCATGAGTGTCAAGGTGGGCACCTCCACACGTATGCAAGCCGGTCTGCGGGCCCCGTCCACGTGGAGTCCAAAGTTTTCCCGAAGTGCTGGCAAACCATCCAGTGTCTCGACCTCAAGTCCCATGAATCCGATCCCGGAGGAATACATTAGCATACCGGAAGCCGTGCGTTCGAGCGGAGCTATTTGATGATTGGAACGCCCATCGAGACACTCATTCACTAAGTAAGTCACTGAACGAGGCGCTCGAAAGATATTCATCGAAAGCCCGAGTGGAGTCGATGATGAGCCGCGCTCGAGGAAGCTTTTCGGGTCGTCTAATATTTCCCCTCGAAAAGAACGGGAATGGCCATCCGGCATAGACGGTGATGAAATCAGTTCACAGCGCAGTCTTGCCGGGGGAGTCTGAGTGACTTGGTTTAGGACCGAGCTCTAATCCCAGATCGGACTAGTCCCATCTCTAGAGGATTTGAGGAGATTCCGCATCGGAGTATCGGCATTGCACAACGAGACTTCGTGCGATTCTCGCAGCCGGATCCAGTCGATCTCGGCGAGATTTGGTTTACGACATGCATGCAGACCAGAAACTATCCGCGGGAAGCAGCTGACGTCAAAGACGCTCTGCTACAACGTGGGCGGTAAACAACAAACACATAGACCACAATATCTCTCCTATTCATGGTCGAGTCCAGATTTACCTGCTTCGTTACTATTTCGGTTTGCACGACGCCAGGAACGAACGGGTCCCGTTTGTCATTGGCCGGAGAGACAGCTGCCATCCCTCCGATAGATCACCTCGCGATACTCCGAGCTATCAGTGTTTGCGACAAAGGAAGCAATTACGTGATATTGAGAAGGCAGTAGTGCCGTGACAGATTTCCCAATAAAGTAATAAACACAGCGCGATGCAACACATCGGGTCTCTCGAACGTTCCATCGATTCACCTTCTCGGCGGCCTGCCGAACGAAGCCAAACATCGACGTCGAAGAGGAAAATAGCGGCTCTGAGCAGCATCAATGCGATAGGTCGCCTGTAGCTTATGATAACAGACGAAGCCCCGAGTCCTCCGAGGAGAGGCACGCAAATCCATTTTGAGCTGAATCGGAGGCGTGCCCTCCCACGACAACCTTCGTTTTTACTCGACGCGAGGTTCATTGATGAACAATTTCCGGTGACATTCGTCGCCCGTGAATCGATTCTACGCGTGGATGAATCGAACCCAAAGATCGACTTCTGACGAGGAGACAGACTGTCGCCTCGCGGTATTCTCAATAACTTTGGTCCCCCAGGCGTTGTCCCCCGGGGGAGCCATCCGAAGATTGCCAGAAACGAGAGTTACAGAGAAATTTCGGGGAAATTCGAGCTGCTCAGGATTCGATCAGGCGCCGGGCTTCCATAATTCGATTCTCGAGCTCTTGTCACCCGCTTCAATGGAGGCTT